TTAAACTTTACTTTGCAATTTTATTCATGGTTGCAATAATATCCAGTGTGTACTCAGAAGTTGGACTAGTGTGGAGTTGGATGATCGTAGCCCTGTTATTCAAATAACTTGTATATCGGGCTACTTCACCAATTTGTGCTATGGCTTCACCCATCATACGCTCTCGTTCCCCTAATAGAGAGTGGTAAAATTCATATGTGTCTAGCCACCCAACATTGATGCGGTTGATTTCTCTTTCCAATATGGTTATTTGAATTTGACATTGCTGGAGTTCGCCCTTCAGCTCTCTGATTTCTTTCCGTAAAGCTTTGTTTTCTTCAAGAGAAATTCTTAATTACATTGACGGAGGTGGAACTTGTACTTGAAGCAAAGTTTGTTAGAGATGAAAGATATGACTTTTTAGTTCTTCATTCATGGCCTGAGACTGATTCAACTATTCCTCAAACCTTGTCTGTAGTTCTCCCATTTCTCCAATGAGCTCCTCCATTCGTCGACTCTTTGTAGAGAATCTTTATATCCATGATCCGATCTCCGCTTGCTTTCTGACAAGGCGATATGCAAAAAATAAAAATGAGGGAGGAGGTTTGATAAAAATAATTGAATAAAGAAAAAAATAATTTAAAGCGAAAATAAAGGAAAACAAATATTTGAAGATAACTATAGTAAAAAGCAGCCTTAGGCCTCGCTTTGACTCGATTCGTTTCTGATCATCGTAATTGGATTTTCACTTCGGGATTCATGACGGTTACAGTCTACAAGGCATTATCCTTGTAACTTGCTTTTCACTTTGGTAACCAATTTTCCCAAGGCCAATATTTAGAAATCCAGTTTTTAATTAAACCAACTACGACAATCGTCGTTAGTGCAAAAATAGTTTTAGTTTAGGAAAATTCCAACTTGGATTATGTTCTCTCTAAGAATCGAACCCAATCACAGTTTCCCTTAGCGGACCGTCGTTAAGTGTATTCACGGGAAGTCGGATATGTTATTCGCCTATCTTTCCTCCCAACATTAAATCAGAACTACATCTAGACCAACGAGCTCTTTTTGAAAAGAAAGTGTTTTGATTTTTAAAGGATAATTCGATTAACAATTCAAGTTTTTCAGGAAACTGATAGTGACATCCTAAAGATGTTAGGAGTTTTTCAATTCTCACATATTGAATTGAGTCATCACTTAGCTTTCCGAGTTATAAGAAAATTAGCTAAGCATGACAAAAGTCATGCTTAGCATATTTAAAAATAAAATTTAAAATAAAATAAAAATGAAAACAAAAACTTTGAAAATAAAGAAAAGAAGAACTTTATAAACCAAAAGCAAAGAAGAAGAATGAAATCTGAATGTCTCTTTAGACTTACCCTGAGAGGGTATTTATAAGCCTTTCAAAATCCTAAAAACAAGGAAAATATAATTCCTAAAAAAATAAGAGATATATCCTAAAGATAATTCCAAATGTTTTTCAAATTCAAACTCTAATATTTAAAAATAATTCTCCTAAGATATCTCTGTCTGTCCATCTTCCAGAAGGTGTTGGCTAGATCTTCTAGAAAACTGCTGCCGACTGGACCTTCTATAAACTGTTACGTCAGACCGTGTCATGCCCAGATTCGTGTCTATGTCTTCAGTCATGACCAGATAATAAAATAATGTAGAATGCACTATTTTTACTGCTAATTCTGGAAAATAAGATATTGCACAAAAATAAGCATAATACAATCAAATCAACAAAAATAAATCCATAAGATCGAAGAATTAACAAGCAAATGTTATCAATTTAGAACACTCATCCGCCATCATCATATAAACGTCTGCAGGAGCTCATGGAAAGCTTATGAAAAGGCCATCATCATATAACCCAGCAAGCATGTTACTTCTGCATTATAAAAATGAGATTGGGGTGGAAAATATTAACCAATAATAAATCCACAACTTAATGAAAACATTTGGTATAGTGCTAGTACTTAAAGGCAGACAGAGTCATAGAAGTAATAGATAAGACGATTCTCCTTAATTTCCTCAATCACTCAACATCCATATTATTGCCCTAAAAATGGAAGTGGACATATTTCTTTCTTACCACAATATCAGTTACAAAGAGTTAGGAGTTGTTTGTTAAAACTGAATGGTTTAACACTGAATGATTTAGCAGTCTGAATGATTAAGAGGCTTTGTATGATATAGTTCTGAATAGAAAATTCGTTTGATAATACATCTGAATGGAAAAAATGACCATATTACCCTTATGTATGATTTTGTGCCAAAAAAATTTATTTATTTCTACTTTGTGAATAAGTGCTAAGAACATATTTTTTAGACAAATTATCAACAATCATAACAAAATATAAAATCAAGTAACTTAAAAACACATTTTTTAGACAAATTATCAACATTCATAATAAACAAATCTACTAACATGAAATGACATAAAAGAGTGGTTTATGTTTTTGATGAAACAAAATACATAACAAGCATTCTTTTGTTCTAGACAAATCAACCCAAAAAAAATATTAATTTGAAGCATTTAAAAACAACTGATTAGCAATGTGATCACGTAGATTAGCCATATACTCATTGCCTTGAGGACCCCATTCAACTCCATTTATCTCGTCTTATTTGTTTCCTTATGATATTCAGATGATATTAACCTATTCACTGAATCATGAGGTTAGCAATACCATCATTTCCTTCAAACATACTGGCTATAATTTTTTGCCCTGCTCAAGAGGTAAGAAACCTGTGGAAATAAATTTGCTCGATGGTTAAGGTCAAGAGACACTCCGAAAGCCACAACAAGACAATTTACTAACTTCACATCTCATGTTCATTTAACATGTTATATAATGAATAGATTAAAATGGACAAAATGTAAGCATATAAAACTTACCAAACTTTAACTACAAACAGAACCATGAATTCGGTTTCTAGATCTAAAATATAAACCATAAATGAATAAGTAAAATAACATAGAAATAATAACTTCTGTATTCCATAAATCAAACAGGGTATATGCAACATCAGAGTACCAAAGTAACGATAGAACGCTTTGATTATTCAAAAAAGAGTCTATTGAGGACGTAAAAATAAAACATGGCCATGTCACGCAGAGTGCAGCAATATTGATTCTTCAACACTCAAGCAAAACAGCTCAACTCTTTCACTTACATGACAATATTCACAACTTTTGCAAGCATTAAATTTTGTAACAAATTTTGCAAGCAGATTGACATAGTGGCAGTGCTTAATGAAAGCAAAACATAGTTCCCTAGCTTTCTGTTACAAATGTATTCTAAATGACCCAAGCTCAGGTTTATATATTGAATGGAAGCCGGAGGACATTAACACTGTCTTATCGACATGGTTCTCAAACAACATGATCTATGTCAATGATTTATTCATGAACTAGAATGTTTAACTGCATATTTGCTACTTCACAAAAGAACACAGATTGACAACAAAATCTATTCAAGACACAGGCTTATGAAGCTCATTTATTGCATATTGAAACAAAGTCAGCAGCAAATTGTTTTAGGTGAGCATTTTTATAATCATCAAACACCGTCACAATACCATAACCACGAGGAATAATTTGAAAAGCAAAAACATGTAGGTGATGAGTGTTTTTGCTATATTCAACCAACTTCTTAGAGTCAATAATTACATTTACACAATAATTAAAGTCATATATGCATAACTTCAATAATTACATTTACACAATACAATCAGATTTTGTCTTTGCATATTGTATCCGCTGCACCAAATCAATCATACTGACAATCAGATCTAAGAATCACATAAATAAAAACTCTTCCTTGGTTCAGAAGGAACAATTTCCCTAATTTAAAATAAAACTAAAATGGCTCCTAAAATTTCTATAAAATGGGTTCACAGTACACGATAACTTTCAGGTGGTTCAATCTCATCTCTAGAGGAACCGAACTTATGGCACCATTGAGTGATAGAAACCCCATATCAAATGAAGCACAAACATCATTAAAGTTAAAAGAAATAGATATTGTTCACTTCGATTTCGATTTTTGAAGGTTTTTCTCAATAATAGTTCCGTTCCATTTTATCTTGGAGTTTTCATATTTAAAAATTGCAACTTGAAAAAAGTCTAAAAGCGGAAATAATATCCTGGCATATTGAATGGGATGATAAAAGCAGGAAAGAAAACAAATCAATTTGCCAAAGCACATTAACACGGATCCAACAAGCAGGTAAAGCGAAGTAAATGTAAGAATTTTGAAGTAAACAACCAAACAATGGACCAATAAATGACTGGAAACTCTAAGAAACAAAGAGACGGAAAGAATCTAGCTGAAATCGAGATCTGAAACGAAAATCTAACAAAAGATTTAACTGATTGAAGAAAAGGAGTTACTTATCAGTGGAGGAACAAGAAGATGGTGAAGAAGAAGTAACAAAGAAAAGAACCGAATGCAAATGAGTCCACGAAAATGACGAGGGATGCGAGTTTGAAGATGAAGACAAAGAAATAATTACCTGGTTGTGTTCTCTACGGTGGATGAATCGACCGAAGGAGGTGAACGACAGAAGAAGGATGAACGATCGAAGGAGGATGAATCGATTGTAGAACGTAGAGGAATTGATATCTGTTTTGGGCTTGTAAACAAGAACGAGAGGGGTAAGAAATAGGGTATTAGCGTAATGATCAAAAAACTGAATGATTAAGCGTGCTTTTTTAGTCTGAATCGCTCAGTCCCTCTAAATCATTCAGAGCCATGATTTTGTGCGAACCAAACACGCTGTCCGATTCAGCGTTCAGACCTAAATGATTCAATTCAGAGTCAAACAAACAGTCCCTTAGTCTTTTGGATGTAAATAGGAAACTTTACCCTATATAAAATAGGGGTCCAATACATCATTTTATTCGAGCGATTTTACATCATGGTCTAAAACAATGGATACATGGCACCTGAAAACGCTATGGGAGGACTCTTTTCCATCAAATCTGATGTTTCAGCTTTGGAGTTCTCTTGTTAGAGATAATAAGTGGAAAAATGAACAATGGTTTTCATCTTTCAGACAGCAGGGAAAGCCTGCTAACTTTTGTATGTTGTTTTATCCCTACTTTTCTTTTCAAACATACTGATCGTACTAATAATCTTAAGCCATGAATGTAGGCATGGAAACTATGGTGTAAAGATGAAGGAATGAAAGTAGTGGATCAGCTCCTTGTTTCGTCGTGTGTGGTTGCCGAGGTGCTTAGATGTATTCATATCGGGTTATTGTGCGTGCAAGCAGACCCAGCAGACAGACCAACCATGTCATCTGTGATTGTCATGTTAGCAAGCAATGACATGATGCTTCCTCGTCCAGCTGAACCTGCATCTTATGTTAGACGTGCTGTCGCAGAACCAACCGAATCCAGTTCAAATGATGGAATGCTTTCAATTAATGAGGTCACAATCTCAAATTTTTTGCCCCGTTGAATGAACCATTGTCTTATGGAATCTAGCCTATCAAAAGTTATTGAACATTCGATTTGTTTACTTGTTACAAGGGAAGTACAACTAAATGTTAGAAATGTTGAAGAGGAATCCTATAGTATCGGTGGACATGTCCCTTGCCCATATGTGTTGTTGTCATTGCTTGTTCTGTCCGATTTCTATCTATAATAATTATGTGTCTTTGCACTGGGAGAATTTTTCTATCATTTATAGATTGTTGATTTAAGAGGTTGTTATTGAAATTATGAGAACAATTTGTTTATTATTGATTTTCAATCATATTTAACTTTAGTGGGTTACTTTCATTTCAAAGATTATACAAAACACTAATTCATCCGCTACACGTTCAAATTTTAATTTGTTTTTATTATATTAATAACCAATATAGCAATTTATTTTTGCAGTATAACTATTAATTTCCAACACCTAAAACACGATAAGTTAACCATTTATCCACCACAAAAATTAAACATGGCATTGAAGTTTTGTTTGAAAAGTCTAATGTAATAGCTTAGAAAGAATAGTACTATTAATTTCTAACACCTAAAACACGATAAGTTAACCATTTATCCACCACAAAAATTAAACATAAAAGTCTAATGTAATAGCTTAGCAAGTCAATGAGTGGCGTGGAATTCCACTAAGTCAAGACACCTTGGTTTATGCGTTAAAAGGTCCCCATGAAAAATGATCCACAATATTATTCAAATGTTTTAAACCCTACGCGTACTTTTCCAGCAAACTTGGTTGGCATTTTATGAAAACTCCATCGATCAATTGAAAAGAAAAAACAAGGGAAGGACACACGAAGACCAACACTCTAAAAATCATGTTGGTTTGACTCAGATTTTTCTAATCAAACCACTCAAAAATCAATTGGTTTGACTCAGATTTTTCTAAGGATCAGTGAACCTTCTATGATTGCAACTTTAGCCCTTACTAAAACCACCCATGTCATTAATTCATACATTTTTATAAATCAGTATCCTCACTTGTTTATGGTATTCCAAGCTAAAAGAAAGAAACTTGTTTCTTGTAAGTGAAAAAAATGAGTGTGCTCGTAGCCTTGATGAACCTGTTGCTGTTAGTAATAGCCCTTGCTTTGCTTAGCCCTGCTACTGAAGCTCAGCAGGGTACTTATCGCTACCACGTTTGTCCAAACACAACCACTTTCCCTGTAAACAGCACTCACAGAGGTAATCGCGATAGCTTATTGGCTTCGCTGTCGTCAAACGGCACCCGTGGGAATGGTTTCTACAACACAACCGCTGGCAGGAACCCTGACACGGTATACGGTCTTTTCCTCTGCCGTGGGGACCTTTCTGCCGAAGTCTGCCAAGGGTGCGTCACCTTTGCTGCCACCGACATCTCCCGACGTTGTCCCGTGGAAATGATAGCGATTGCTTGGTACGACGAGTGCCTAATACGGTACTCGAACGTAAACATCTTTTCTGCCGAGGCCGAAGAACCTGCAACTGTCTTGTTTAACTCTCAGAATATCACTGACCAAGATCGATTCAACCAGCAAGTGCAAGCGATGATGAGTGAGACAGCAACCCTTGCCGCAAACACACCACCAGGTGCTAAAAAATTTGCCGCTAGAGCAACAGCGGCCAATTTATCATCAAGTATTCAAACACTGTACAGCCTGGGTCAGTGTACACCGGATTTGTCAAGCTCGGATTGCGATAGATGTCTACGATTCGCAATAGGAAATCTTCCAAGAGGAAGCCAAGGAGGAAGAGTGCTGAGTCCTAGCTGCAACGTTAGATATGAAATCTACTTGTTCTATAATCAAACAGCAGTTGCACCTCCACCTTCTCCTCCTCCAGCTCCAAGTATACCCTCACTTTCCATTCATAAGTTCTTTTTCATTCTCCAGGTTTATCCTTTTCGACCTTATAATACATAACCGCTGCATATTATAGTTTCAGGAGGGAACGGGAACGGCCGAAGATCATGGCCAATAATTGTCGCCATTGTTGTTCCAATTGCTGTCATCATTTTGATTTTCTTCCTGGCCTGTTGGGTGTTAAAGAGGAGAGGAAAGAAGAAGTACGATGCTATCCGGGCAGAAAATGGTATGTTTTTAGCCATAACAATTTTATTTCCTTGTGTTTCACACACACAAAGAAATTGACACTCTTTGGTATTCGGTATGCAGCAGGGTATGATATAACCACTGTAGAGGCATTGCAGTATGATTTTACCACAATTGAAACAGCAACAAATAATTTTTCAGACTCTAACAAGCTAGGCGAAGGTGGTTTTGGTGATGTTTACAAGGTATAGTTACTCTCACTTCTTACCCCCAAATCAAAATTTTAAATCAATCAATGTGATGTCAAATTTGACCCAACCTGTTTTTATCATAAAAAAAATAATAATTTAAATTTAATTCGAAAATGATATAAACAAATAAAACGATGAAATATCGACTATAGGAGAGTAAAATATAACCATTTCAATGTGTCAAAATATGTTTATTTTGATATATAATTATTCATTGAAATATCAACAACTATATATTTTCAAGATAAGGTCGAATGTTCAAGTTTTGATGTTGTAATGGAATAAAATGAATTGAATGATCGTTCTTAATTGAATTTTTATAGTATATCATCTGAATTTGTAGACCAATGAATCAGTTATGAATCATTATAATTAAAAAAAGGGGGAGCAAAGTGCATTTAATGATTGGAGAGTGGTCTGTATATGCTCAGGGTGTCCTTCCTAACAAACAAGAAATAGCTGTGAAGAGGCTATCAAGAGGTTCAGGCCAAGGTGCAGAGGAATTTAAAAACGAGGTCGTGTTGGTAGCCAAGCTTCAACATAGAAATCTAGTGAGACTAATGGGCTTTTGCTTGGAAAGAGAAGAAAAGATACTAATCTACGAATATGTGCCCAACAAGAGCCTGGACTATTTTGTTTTCGGTATTTTCTCACATACTTTGCCAAGACCTGAGAATTTCAAGAGACTGATTTTGTAAACACAAATGCTTGTTTTCGTTTTAGATCCTGCAAAACAAGGACAACTTGACTGGTCGAGACGATACAAGATAATAGGAGGGATTGCTCGCGGAATGCTTTATCTGCATGTGGATTCTCGGCTTCGAATCATCCACCGCGATCTCAAGGCCAGCAATATATTGTTAGACGGAGACATGAGCCCCAAGATATCGGATTTCGGCATGGCGAGGATTTTTGGTGTCGATCAAACTCAAGGAACCACCAGAAGAGTTGTCGGAACCTAGTAAGTTGTTGCATTGCACCCTAATGGTTGAATGGACCAACACCTTCATTACTCTGATATATGTTACTGGTTGGACAGCGGCTATATGGCTCCGGAATATGCGATGCAAGGACAATTCTCCGTGAAATCGGATGCATATAGCTTCGGTGTTTTAGTTCTGGAAATCATAAGTGGCCAAAGGAACAGTAATTTCTATCAAACAGATGGTGCTGAGGACCTCATTAACTACGTGAGTATTAATAAGTGTTTTGGCCTTGTGCGAGTATTAATAACTCACTCAACCTTGGGTGAACCAATGCAGGCTTGGAAGCTATGGAAGGATGAGAGACCCCTGGAATTGTTAAACCCTGTTCTTCGGGACAATTACGCGAGAAATGAAGTCATCAGATGTATTCAACTCGGGTTATTGTGTGTTCAAGAAGATCCGGCCGATAGGCCGACGATGGCTACCGTTGTTCTCATGCTTAACAGTTACTCTGCCACACTACCAATGCCTAAAGAACCGGCATTTGTGCTTCACAGTAGAACGGATGGGAGTATGCCATACAAAGGGCTTGAATCTACCAGTCAATCCATTCCATTGTCCATCAATGAAGTATCTATTACTGAATTGGACCCCCGGTAATGCGAGTTAAAGGATGCATCATCGTCCTTAACCTCAAGGAAGGTTCATAGCTATTGCCAATGTTGAATAAGCTTTCGTTTTCCCAATGTACGATTATGATTTCTATAAGTAGCAGAATTTGTGTACTTTAACTAGCGGGCATTATACTGTTATTTATGCCCGTGATCTTGATGTTTTTTAATATTCTGCTTTTGAAAACATTATTTTATGAATTCCTAAACCATATCACATGAAAATGCTACATCAATCAGTGTAAGAACTAAATTAAATAATTAACTTACCTGATTAAATATTTTAACATTTTCAAAGATACCATCCCCCAATTACAAATTCACATGCTACAAGAATTAGGCCATCATTAATCTGAAATAGGATCCACCATTTGTCATCTAATAAATAGAATCTATATCGCTAAAACATGGTAATGAAAATGAAAAAGGACTCAGGTTTAATTATGGGCAGATGTCTCTTTCTTTTCACCAAACTCTCCATTAAAGAGGAAAGTGAAAGCTGCCTTGTTTTGGACCTTACTCGAGACAGTGACAATTATTATTATTAATATAACATAATAATTGTTCAAATATTCTCAATCATTAAATAATAAATGTTTATATCGCTAACATTTGTGGTACTCAAACTCGAGACTTCAAGAGATAACAACAAATCTCTTAATAGTTAAGCTCGAGTTTAACACGCTTTCAGATTATCTGCCTACATTTTGTATTAATGTTAAATTATGACTAACACCAATTATGACACTAAGACGAAACATCCATCTAATCAAAACAATTATACATTGATCTTTCCTTGGGAGACTGTTTAACAAAACCTGCAGGGTATTATACCAATGAAGCCTTGTGGAGTAAGATATTGGGCTCTCTCATTGTTCCAAATTCCACTTGCTATAGGTTTTACTGCATGGATCCTCTGTGGAAAAGAGCCTATAGCGAGCCAGGGTCCAAATAAACAGGTGCGTGACCGATTATTAGGGTTAGTTCAGCATTATTAGGGTCCAAACTGAAAACCCTTTGTTCTTTACTTGTGAAGGAGGTTAACAAACTTATTTTCCCTCTAATGGCTCTAATGGCTGGAGGCTTGGGTGGAGTTTTTGGAATCGGGGGTAGAGTGCTGATAAGCCCACTTCTTCTTCAAGTTGGGGTAGCCCCTGTGGTAAAATATTGTCACTTTATCCGACCGAGAACATGATTAGGAATGCTTATAAAGCAGTCACTTTTTTCATTCGATGCAGGTAACGGCAGCTACTTGTTCCTTCATGGTTTTCTTCTCGTCCACAATGTCTGCGTTTCAGTATTTATTGTTGGGCATGGAGCAAACCAGGACCGCCCTTGTATTCTCAGTCATTTGTTTCGTAGCATCGCTTCTCGGACTAGTGGTGGTGCAGAAAGCCATAAAAGAATTCGGGAGAGCATCACTAATCGTGTTCTCGGTCGGTATCGCAATGGCACTGAGTGCCGTTTTGATGACTAGCTTCCGAGTTCTTGATGTTTGGGAGGACTATAGATCACAGAGTTATATGGGATTCAAACTACAATGCTGAAAATCAACTTTGTATAAATTTGTATCTCTATTTGACCTTGGAAATGAAGAGTTGTTTGTTTATGTATTCATCAAATGATAATTTTTTATCATACAACAATTAAAGAGTTAATACTATGTGACAAAGCCAAGGAAATTGGAGTTTTTCCGGTCAACCAATCAGAAACACAACATAAAAATCTAAGAATACAGATTAGTAGTAGTAAGCTAAAGCATAGCCTCTACAGATGATGATACAAACCCCAAGCCATATCAAATCATGATCCTTCTAATCGGTTACTCGATGTTATAAAAAAATGCAAGAAAACGTCGAATTCAGCCACAGCTCAGCCGAGAATCAGCAGGCTGCAAGGTCATCTGACGACGGGGAACTCCAATTTCACATGCATTCACTCTAGCAGCGAAGCGGAGAGAGCACAACGACTCTCCTATTGAAGTAGGATCCGGTGACACGTTCACGAACATAAGTGTCTTTGAATCTCCACCGAGACAGGGCTGTTTGTTTATCAATTTGAAAATGAATTTTAAAGGTGCGAAAACATCGTATTAAAGTAGTGACAATCTTCGAGATTAGTTTACCTGGAGAAGATATGTCAGCTTGGAATTCCTAAAAGGCACATGATCATCCTTCTTTGCCAAGGCGAAAATGACATCACTCAAACATGACAAGCTTTTGTTAATGGCCTGAGTTCATGGAAATAGGTTAGGATAATGCATCGAAAGAATAATTTATGAAACAGACAAATCTTGTGGTACGTTGAACACCTGAGTCTCCTTCAACCTATCTCCAGTAGCACCACTCCTTGATAGTCGCTCACTTCCTGCAAGATCGATAAGGTTCAAGACTCCCTGCACTTGTTGCTCGGTGCTCTAAGAGAACAAATAAAGAAACGTCAGTATCACAGAAGGAAGAGGGCTTATCGATAGATTCAAAACAAGATAAAAGCACTAAAAAGAAAAGATATTTACCTCATTTGTTCCCAATATCCTTAATGTGAAAACCATGTGACTTCTTGAGGATTGCTCATTCATTTGAGTCCTGCCCACAGACCTGCAAAGCAGAAAAGTGTAACCCCCTTGAACGTCAGAACTGTTCTTTTGCATGGTCGTTTTGAACAAAACTCATGAGGCATTGCATATTTGGCACCCACATTAGGCAACCGTATTCTTGATGGTTAATAATATCATTCAATCATTTAAAAGAAACTAATCCTCCCATCGAAAATATTTTGGGAAACAATTTATGACACAATTTAACTCCAACATAACATTGTTGAAACATACCCAAACAAAGGTATGCTTAATGCAAGAGATACTCTATAACATACTATGGCGGAAACACCAAGACTTAAGCAATTTACCTGCTTTGAGCAGCCTGCCGTAAAAGGGAGGAAATCTCAGTTATGCTGCTAACATCAACAATGGTCAGGTCACTGACATATGTATTACCGTTCGCGTCATGTTTAATTGTGTATTGCTTTCCGGAAACTGCATTTTCGGAGCGTGTTGGATCTGAACCAACTGATCGATTATTTGATAACAGATCTCGGATGGTTTCATTGTATATTTCCAACATTGAAGCCTAACAAAATATTGGAAAGGGTGTGGTGAAAACCATGATTAACCAATACGATAAGTTGAAATCAAGCTCAATAAATTACCTGCATTTTGTATTTCCATCCCTGTGCTTTCAGGGACTGGCTACTTTGAAATATCTGCTCCAAGGAACGCGGTATCAAACCTTTCTGTTCCGGGACTTCTGGCCTTCCCATCATGGTGTAAGTCTTACCTGAACCTGTCTGTCCATAAGCAAATATACAAACCTGCAAAGCAAATAAACCACACCAATCTGTTAATGCATATTTCCTTTGTATCAAAGGGAAATCAATGCAGATCATATAGCAATCGTAGACTAGTACTAATAATTCTATAACTCAACTAACACCATAAACATTGAATAATTCAGCTTCAATGAAGTAATGTCAAGTGCAAAAGAAATCAGTTAACTTTAAATGCAAATCTTTCTCAATTTTGAGATACAAGAATCTTTATACGCCATATACTACATTTCTACAATCATAAACAATTTGCTTAAGTTTGCAAAAAAAAGAAAAGTAAGCATAAAATAGCTAGGCCACCTTATATCCATCGAGCGCACTCTGTACCAATTGGGATATCTCTACAAAAACATCTTGTTGTGAAGCCTCGTGATTGAAAACCTTGTCAAATGTGAAAGGATACTTTTGTCCTGCCAATTGAAAGAAAAAAGATTAAAGCCTTTGATCTTTAACAAAAAATGAATAACAAAGAAAGAGCATAAATGTTCATACCACTTTGTTTCAAGTCAATGCCACGGCCAAGAGACTCTGTTGATGTAGGATAAGAGATAATTGCACCTTCTGCTGCAGCACCATCATCCGGTAATAGAGGGCGTACCCGACAAAAAACTCGGATGTTCCCTTTCAGTTCCTGCAATTAAAGATAATTTAGCATCATTACAGAACAATAAATTGCAAATAAAGTTGATGATGAAACAGTAATACCAGAATAGTATTGTGCAGCTTTTTCCTCAAATTCTCTCCATCAATAAGTTTGCGTTCCATATCTGCCAACCGATCTTGTAGTTCTTGCGCCATTCTTTTCTTTTCTAAATATTCCATTCTTGTTTCTGAAGCCGACAAATCGGTCATCTAAAATACAGTAAAAAGAGAACAAGTTACAAATATCAAGAACTACATTCATGCTATTTTTGTAAAACAAAATAATGCACAAGCAATCCTGTCTAATTTCAAGCAATTGGTACCTTTAGTTCCTCATTTGCGGCAGCCAGCTGTAGCTCCAATATCCTTATTTGCTCTCTCTGAGAAGAGCATGTATCCTGCCAAAAGAAACCTAGCATGTAAGAAAGCTTTCCCAAAAACCATTTTACCACTTAAGGAAAACAAAACCAACCTACCTCCAACGATTTTGATTTTGTTGTCAAGTTATCTAATTCTGCTAATGAATTTCCAGTACTTTCTTTGTGCTTCTCAATTTCAGCAGATAGTGCCTGCACTTGTGACATTTGTCGGTCACGATCATCCCTGACTTGTTGCAGTTCCCCTCGCAAGCATTTGACTTCATTTACTAATGTTTCCTTTTGCTTAACAGCATCATCTTGTGAAACCTGAGGAGAGTAAGATCCAAAATATATTGAACATGATATCATTCTCTCAAATATACAGACCTCGGTGCCAAAAGAATGAACAGGTGTGATCATTAAGTTTATAGTGAACCACCTATCAAATAAGTTCATGTTGCATTCTTAAGTTGAGAAGAAAAACAGAAAAATTACATGAAAGACTAAATTACTTATTAGTTCAGAATTAGTCATCATGAAAAATCTGTCACAACTGTAAACTTGAAAGATAAAAAGCCCAACCACACCAAAGGGAGGTCTTCAAAATCCATTTAAACACTTGAAATGGAATATGGAAGCGGAAAAGGCAAAAGAAATAAGAGAAATTAGGCTGATATAAACGCTTACTCTTGACGAGGTCAATTGTTCTTGCAATGAACTACAGTGGCCTCTTAAAGTGCTCAGATTCTCAACTATTGTCAGTTTCTCCTTTTCTACTCGTTTGAGTGACTCACGAACTGTTTCAAGGTCATTGATTAATTTGGAATTGTATTGTTGAAGACTCAGGATATACTCTTGTAATCGCTTGTGTGTATTGTCAAGGGAGACAGCCTGCAAAATTCAAAAAAGTTCAGCCTGAAAATTGAACACTATCAACAATAATAGCATCAATTCTCAAAAGGGAGAGGAAAAACTATATATAAGAGATATTCATGTATTACCCTCTCATTAGCAGCTGCTAGATCCTGCTGAGCTCTTTCAAGCTCTTCTGTCAGTGAAGCAACTGACTTTTCAGCAGCAACCCTAGCTTCATTTTCACTTGTGTGGCGTTCAATAGCATCCTAGTTTTTTAAAAAAAAAACAAACATGTAAATAAAACATTAAAGAGAAACATATATGTAAGACTGATTTAAGAGATTAGTATCTTACGAGCTTTTCTGACACTTCCTTGGAAAGCTTCTCCTGTAGAGATGTATTATTGTCCCTTAATTCAGAAATAATAGAATTCAGTTCTTCCTCCTTGTTTTTCTTCTCCAACTCTGTAGAATCAAAAGTTAATAAACTAAATCAATCAGTAACTCTAATTAACCTTGGAAGCAGTCCAATTACCTGTATCCATGCATCTTTTCAAAGCAGATTCCAATGAATTCTTAAGCTTCTCTTCTTCCAGTGCATGATTCTCATCACATTGTTGAAACCACTTCACACAAAGCTTTAGCCTTTTATTATGGTCCGCTGCATGTTCGTATTTAGCCTACAGTAAATAATAACCGACAGCAACAATTAACAAGAAATCAACAACAAAAGTTTAAATTTAAAGTAAAATAATTACAATTATAGTTTTACCTTGAGATCGAACTTTTTTGCTTTCGGCTTCTCGTTCAATATCGCTTCCACTTCTTCTTTTGTGAATTCATGATTCGAACATTCCTCGGGGGCAGCGACGGCTGAAGTGACCTCTTGGCGGTTGTTAACAGCAGAAAAGGGTTGTCGTGTTCGACCGGTTCCTGTAGCTCCCGCTCCTCTTCCCATTGCTCCAAGCCTTCTCCGTTTATCTAATGGATTTTCATCTCCAAGCTCCTTCCTCTGATTTTTTTTAAAAGTCGCAAATGATTAAGACAAACAGATAGAAACATTAAAAAGGAATTAAAAAAAGGAAAAAGTTAAAATTCATTTACAGTTGAAGGGCTGCGAGGAGGTCGATTCTGGTTGCGAGAAGCCATAGTTGAAACTCAGTCGAAACTGTTGCTACCAAGTGATAGTCGGAATCGGAACAGGATTGAATCTGGACCGTTGCAATGTGGAGTTGAAGGTCGATTTGATTTTTGTTGTAGATTTTGAATTTGGGGATCTAATTGGAACGTTAGGGTTTTGAAAAAGGAAATGAGGACAGAGAGCGCTGAGACATTGGGGAGGAGCCTCTATTTTTGAATTGATTTGAAATTAGATCTGGCGGGATATCCTATGAAATAAAAAAATAGTACTTAACGGTAACTACTTCATTTTGGACGGGTTAGGTCGGATTTTTATCAATCCAATCTGAAAATAAACTTTCTTCATTCAAATTTAATCTGACTTAAATTTTTAAGATAATTTTTTATCTTATTCGAAACAAAAATATTTTTTTTAATTTTTATTTGATAAAATAATAATTTAATTGAAAAAAATAAAAATATATATATTATAACTATTATCTCTAAATATATATAGGAAATTTATACTATTATTTTAGCTTGAGTCGGATCATAGATTTTTTTAGACTTAAACTTGAACTCGACTTAAACTTTTTTTTTTTTAAATTGACATTATCAAATTGGATCGGATCAAAATCCGTTAAATGATTGTTAAATTGATATTCGTACTTGGGGTCAAATAAAAATTTGGAAAAAATTAAAAATCAGTCCAAATCATAATATTCAGGTGGTTGATAGTTTATAAATTTAATAATTATGATTAGTCCAACGGAATTAAATTCTAGTTTTACTTAATTTATAGTTAAATTTTATTTTATAATATAAAATAAGTATATTATGCCCTGGAAAATACATTATATTTTAGAAATAAAGCATATGAATTGATTGCTTATTTGAATATTTATGGTATAGTGGATCGAGAAGTTGAACACTAGTGACAATAGTTGAGTCCATGGCTGCGGACATGGCACAAGCAATGGCATCGATGGCTGGTTTACTTGGCTCCTCACAGGCCGTGCTCGAAGGCAGCCTCCATCACGGTGGCCGTCAGGGCCGACCCTGGGCATAGGCCAGGGGGGCGACCACCTAGGGCCCCAAATTTGGAGGGACCCATTTTTAAAATTATTTTTAAGTTTAATAATTAAAAAATATTTTTAAACATATTTTTTTATTTTAAATACTCAAAAATATAATAATTTAGTAAGCCCCAATAATTAAAAAAATTAAACATCATTATTTATTTAAAAAAACTCGAAAATATAGTAATTTAGTGGAGCCCCATTTTAATAATGGGAGAAATCTAGGTATGGGCCCCCACTTGTCTTCTTGTCATCACCTTCTGACCTAAGACCATTAAAATATCAGGACCGGGTCTGGTGGCCGTACTCAGTTGAACATTGGTAGCAATAATCGACTGGCTGTGACTAGGCCTGGTTTCACCATCAGAGCTCAGCAGGCACCTACTGAGACTGAAACTGGACGAAGAGCCATGCTGGGTCTTGTTGCTGCTGGTCTGGCCACTGGCTCCTTTGTTCAAGCTGTGCTTGCCGATGCTCGAAGCATCAAGCTTGGCCCTCCTCCCCCACCCTCTGGTGGATTGCGTAAGTCCTCCATTATCCTTGCAATTCCTACACATCTTTTGATGGTTAAATTATCACTTTACTTGATTTGTGATGGTTTAAAAAATGGTTAATTGCACCAGGAGTCATCGAATTATCATTCAGAATTTAAATTAGTCTCTGCTTCAGAAGGTTCTTAGTGAATCCTCAAAGCATCAATAGGATCCTTTCGTCACTCTTTTCGTCAATTTAGAGATTGCATGTTACCAATAACTTTGTTGATTTAGTGGAATGAGACACTAAATCCTTTAAGTAAGGTCAGAGATTTAAATCTTAATATTGTGAATGGAGTAAATTGGGGTGGGAGAATCACCCCCGTAATGAGCTTCTAAAGTACTGAATTTAGATTAGTTGATCAATAGATCAGATATCGGTGATCAATCTAAAATAATATAGAGATTGCATGTTAGTTTGGATTTGAAATGAAGTATATTTAGCAGTACATGTATCAAACTGTAATATGTGTACACCTAACTCATGCAAGATACTTTTTGGAGGCTAAAATTACAAGTTTTGACTTGGGGCTGAGATAAAGATAAACAAATTTGAAGAGGCTAATGTAATTTTTCAATAAATATGAAATATTCACAATTGTTTGCAATTTGGTCTATATGCTTTAGATATGTTTTTATATCACATTTGAGTCGGTGTCTAATGTCCAAGTTATTGATTAGGCAAATGGAAGAACTTGATTAATAAGATTTTATATGAGGACTCAAATAGAACAATTTAAAGTTTGCAATCAATTTAAAATCCGCGTCATAATTTAAGGATCTATAATGCAGTTACCCCTAAAAAATACATAAACCAAGCATGAACATGACAAGAGCTGTTCTAGTCTTCTAGATGGTTGTCAATTACCTTTTCGTTTGCAAGAACATGAAAACCGAACTTGTCTTGAAAATGGAATCATTGTATATGTGACGTTGTTAGCCAGAACTCTGAATTCCGATGAGCCGAGAGACCTTGTTTTGCCTTACAAAGATCGGTTCTTCATCCAACCACTCACTCCGGCTCAGGCAGCTTAGAGGGCAAAGGATATTGGCCAAGGACATTCTTGGTGTCAAGAGCTTGATTGACAAAAAGGCATGGCCCTATGTCATGAACGATCTTCAGCTCAAGGCCGAGTATCTCCGCTACGACCTTAAAACTGTCATCTCTTCCAAGCCCAAAGATGAGAAGAAGTCTCTCAATGAACTAACTAAGAAGCTCTTCAACACCATCGACGGAGTAAGTTTCGATGTTTACGGACTAATTCGTATCATTCGACGAAATGTAATAGCTTATCATGAATGATATTTCTGATATGTGTTTTGTTTTTGGTATAGCTTGACCATGCAGCCAAGATCAAGAGCACACCTAAAGCAGAGAAGTACTATGCTGAGACTGCATCAGCTTTGAACGATGTCATTGCCAAGCTTGGCTAAACATTGTTTGTTATATTTTGATGTAAGAATTGTTCATCGTTTGTAGAGGCACATTTTCAATTTTCTGGAAGTACTTTGTTCACCCGAAAGATTTCGATTTCATTAACAAGAAATGGGAAAAAAACAGCCATTAACATGGTTATATAAATATCAATACAGCAAATTGAAAAAGAATGTAGAATTGGCTTTGTTACAAAGCTTGGAGAAGTAAGGAAAGGCAAGTTAGGCCACACTGGTGGCGGCGGCGGCTTGAGATCTATTTGATCGATCTTCTCGGGCTGCTGCAGTGGCTGAGACATAGTAAGCGACAGTGAAAAGTCCATGAATGAAATATAGAATTCCTCCAACGGACAAAAGACGATGATGAGATATGCCGCATGATTTCCTTGACTTGGAGTTTGACAGTGCCCCTATGATCAGCATTGTGAATCCAACTGCTAATATTATCCTGGATACGGAGGGACATAAGAAGAGACTTATGTTGTTCGAAATCTTCATTTGTGTTGAAAATACCGACTATGGATACGATATCAACAAAACACAACCAAGAAAAAGTTGTTGTATACATTGCATGTTGATGCATCATGAGATATAAATACGAGAATACAACTTTTAAAGATCTCTATATACACGAAAAAACTTCGAAAAGAATTACATACCATGAGAAAATAAGGGAACACACGGCTAATTGTTTATTTGCAGATGCTTTGTCCAAGTCCTCCTCCGTCCAAACGCACACGCAACCACCGAGCAAGTTCCCAACAACATGGGCAAGGCCGAGAAGTACCGATGCCGCGAGACCGAGCTTGTAAGCCTGTAAACTGGGGTCTCTACACTCAAAAATCCACATCCTCAAATGCTCCACCTGTTTAGCGAAGAACCACAGGACCATCCAAAAAAGAAAATGAAGGATACAATTCTATTTACATGCTAAGCCCCTGAGCATACCTTATTTTCAGCTATTTCAGCCTCAATGCCAAGTACCCCAGCAGTAATGTCCAAAGCCATGATCAGCATACAAACCAGAAACCCATAGTTTCTTGCCATGTTTACCATGATAATCTGGCATGGAACACAAATGAATAGGGTTGCAGACCCTTTATAAGGGCAAATTGCATTCTTGATGAAGAGGGGAATACGAATAAAGTAGGGAACAGGAATGCAGATTAGTAACAAATACGAAAGTGATGGCTGTGAGCTCAGAGTTTTGGATTAAAAAAAAAGCTTCTTTTTGCTCATACATTTTTTCTTTATTCTTTCCTTTTTCTTTTTAAATTCATATTCCTTCCACGGATGACAAGAAAAGTAGATATTTAGAAACATTGATCAATGCCTGAGATGTGTTTTCGGGTCTTGGATTAAGGTTTTCAACAGCTAATGGTACACAAATTTCAGATACTTTTAGCTGATGAATCAAACATTAAATGGCATGTATCATAACCTTTGCTGGTAGCCTGGAATCAAACTTTAAGAGGGCAGTGATGTGTTCTACTGCAATGATATAGCATGGGAGACTGATATGATTGCAGATATCCCTTTTGTGAGCCCACTTGAATTTTCTTTGTAAGCAAACAAAGCCAAAGCCCAACCAACTAACACAAACGTAATTTCCCTTTTTCTAACAAGAAAATTCAAACCTTATCCACTTCGAGGCAAAATATTTAATATTACACGAAAAGTACAGGTGTTCGGTGGGTCTCGATCATGGGAGAAACATTTCTCTAGAACCAACTCAAAACTTCACATAAAGATTATTGTCATCATTTTATCAAATCCAAATAAGAACTACAATCTACAAATGCTTATATTGGGAGATAAAATCCTGGGAACTCTCTCATTCCCTTTCCCAGAAGCTTAAAAAAAGAGGTGAACAAAAATGTCGCTGTATTACAGATGGAAGAATTTCGAGGAAGACGAGGATCGACCCGAGAAGCCTCGCCGGTTTGGGGTCACGGAAATGCGGGGACCCAATCACACTCTCTTGACCCAGAACGTTCTCCAGGTATGGAGATTCGATGGATTCTTTTTTATGTTTTGATCGACGTCTTTGTTTGCTAAAAAAATTGATTCTTTTACCAGGAGATATTTGAGTCGATGGGCCAATTTGTCGATGGGCTGAAATTCTCTGGGGGTTCTCATAGCTTGATGCCGAAATCATTTCTGAAACAAGTGATCCACATGGCTCACCAGCATGATGTTTATGTTAGTACTGGTGATTGGGCTGAACAAATGATTCGTAAAGGCCCTTCAGCTTTTAAAGATTATGTTGAGGTACAGCTGAGTTTATACCCAGATGAAAATTTTGTTTCTTTCTGATTATGTTCAGCGTTTAAAGATTATGTAAAGTGCTTTCCTTTCTGATGTTGTTTAATGGTCAAAAGGAGTGTAAGCAAATGGGGTTTGATACAATTGAGTTGAATGTGCCATCACTTGAAGTTCCTGAAGATACTCTTTTGAGATATGTGAGATTGATTAAAAGTGGTGGCCTAAAAGCCAAGCCTCAGTTTGCTGTCAAATTCAACAAGTCTGATATTCCCACTGGTGGAAATAGAGCATTTGGGGCCTATGTTCCTCCTCCTCCTCCTAGATCAACTGGTATGAGACCATTACTTTAATGGCTTTGGTTTTTTATGATTTTCACATTTGTGATGAGCACTTTGAATTTATTTTTGCTTTTATCAAATTAAATTTCAGGGGAGTTGAATTTGATAGCTAACCACACTCTTTTTTATTGATTTCCATCTCTTAGACCCTTTATTTTGTGTATCTGAAGATTTCATGGCAATAATGTTCAACTTTCATACTGGTTAGAGTGGAACCATTGAAATATGGAATGTCATGTCCTCTTGCTGCTATGATTGTTTTGTCTTGAAATTTGTTTGGATGAGCAAATCTGTATCAAGATCATCATACTGGTTAATTGATAGATGCAAATTCTAGATGTGATTTTTTTTTTCATTTCATCAATCATTCTTCTTTATGTTTGTTCAGTTTTTAAAAGCTCGAATTTTGCATTTTAACCCTTAGCTTACCTATATTTACAGAACTTATTGAAGATGTGGACCTATTGATCAGAAGGGCTGAGAGATGCTTAGAAGCTGGTGCAGATATGATTATGATTGATGCAGATGATTTATGCAAACATGCTGATTCTGTACGGGCAGATGTAATTGCAAAGGTTATTGGCCGTCTAGGTCTTGAGAAGATCATGTTTGAAGCTTCAAATGCTAGAGCCTCCGAGTGGTTTGTCAAGCAATATGGACCAAGGGTATACTGGATTTCCATTACGTTTCCTTCGCACCAAATTCTAATGATCTGTTTGTTGTATATGATTTACATTCATGGCTTTGTGCTTTCAGGTGAATCTCTTTGTGGATCATTCTCAGGTAATGGATTTAGAGTGTCTCAGAGGACGCAACCTGGGAAAAAACCATTCCTCGGTTCTTGGTTCTTCATATTTTCTGTTCTGAACTGGTAAAGACTTCTAGAGATGCAACTCCTCGGTCATAGTTCGTCGAGTGTTGCAACTTGCATTTGATGTGTTATGTTTGTGCTGTGAGTGTGAAGTTAAATGGAAATGAAAACATTATATGCTACTATTGCAATAAAGTTGGAAGAATTCTTGTGTAAGAAACAATGACCATGATACCTTGTTTCTGGGTCCAATTTTACCAATTGTGCATACATCTTTTCATCTTTTAGTTAAAGAATAACCAACAGTCCCTTTCAAGTCCAGTTCGAAAGTAGTGTCTGCTGCCGCAGCATGGTAGGTTTCCGAGTTCATCGGCTTATGAATCTCCGACAGTGCCAGCACGATGTCCCTCATTGTGGGCCTTTTTTTCGAGACAGGATTTTCACAATCATAAGCCAGACCAGCCATGTGATTCAGTTGTTGAACATCAAAATTTCCATCAAGTCTGGGATCTGCAATCTGTTCTCACCCTTCATGGTTTTCAACACCAATAGCCACCTATTCAATGTCAAAAGCCTTTTCAATTTGTCGATGCAATAAGCACAGAGATCAGTTTTAGCAAAAGCTAGAATGGTTTGGACTTACAAACTCTACAATTTCTATGAGACCTTTTTGTGCATTGTTGCCACTCATTATCTCGAATAGCAGTACCCCAAAACTATAAACATCGCTTTTCCGAGTAAACGTCAACGTAGATATGTACTCGGGATCTATGTATCCAAAAGTTCCCTTCACATCAGATGAACGCAGATCGCTCTTCTCCTGCCTTGATATTCCGAAGTCAGCCACCTGCGCAATTTGGCAAACATTAAGCCTCAAGAGATAGAAGGAAATGAACTATCAGAAAGAGAATTGAAAACATACTCTGGCTTTCATGGAGCCATCTAACAGTATATTCGACGATTTGATGTCGCGGTGCACGACCGGAGGAACAGCCTGTTATAAATGAAGCTAAGTAACTATAAACATGAAACCTTAAACGTTCCGTCAGTCTTACAAGTTCTGTTACAAACTGGAATTGCAACTTCTCTCGATCTATCAAGGAGAAAACAATAATAATTCTCTCTAGGTAAAAAGGAGAAAACAACTCTCAAGAAACTCTCTAAATTCTCTCTAGTATTGGAAGAAAGGTAGAATGCTTTGGGATGGTTTTGAAGCTAAATGAGCTAGAAGCTTTAAGGACTAATCTTGAAAATACCCTAAAAGTTTAATGACTAAAGTTTGTAATTTGCCCATTTAGTTTTCAACCATTGTTGCACCTAATTTTGACATTTTATATTGGTGCCTACCATTATTGAAAATTTTTTTTTTCAACCTTGCTAAATGCCACTTCGGTGCATGCTTTCAACAATCTCCCACTTGAAGATTTGATTGACACAATCATATCTTCACACCATTCTTTTTACCTTGTACCATCATGTTGCTTACGTCTCTGACAGTCAACAAGAGGATCAACACCAGGTAAATTTATCAGCATTGATTGCCTTCGTCATGAAATCTGCTATGTTGTTTTTGGTATGGATCTCCTGCATATCTACCGTTCTTTCTTCCACCTTTTTACGAATGAAATGGTACTGAACTTTTATGTGCTTTGTCCTTGAATGAAATGTTGGATTCCTTGCTAGATTCAAGGCTCTTTGACTGTCACAAACCAGAGAGACATACTCTTGATTATGCCCAAGCTCCTCCAATAGCATCTTCAACCAAATTGTTTCTTTACTGGCTTGTGTAGCTGCTACATATTCTGCCTCTGTTGTGGACGTAGCCACAACTAACTGCAATTTTGAACCCAGCTTACAGCCCACCAGCAATTTGAACACATCCTGTAGTAGATTTGCTTTTATCCAATCCCTGCATAGTCAGAATCTACATAACATTTATTAGTAAGTTTGATCCTCCGTAACATAATGCAACATTTGAGGTCCCTTTGATGTATCTGAGGATCCTCTTTACAAATTCCAATGCTCTTTGCCTGGATTCGCATGTACCGACTAACAACTCCCACGCTGTGCAATGTTTGGTCTTGTGCATATCATAGAGAACATTAAACTTCCCACTGTTGATGCATACGGTACTCGAGACATCTCCATCTCTTTCTTCATGCTAGGACTCATATTGGAGGATAATTTGAAGTTAATAGGAAGAGGGGTACAAATTGCTTACAATCTTGCATGTTGAATCGTGACAAGATCTTCTTCAAGTAATTCTTTTGTGAAAGCCAAATCTTCCTATTACTTCTGTCTCGGTGAATTTGCATCCCTAGAATCTTTTTTGCTGATCCCAAGTCCTTCATTTCAAATTCCCTAGCCATTTGTGCCTTCAATTCTTCAATATGATCTTTGTTGGGTCCTACAACCAACATGTCATCCACATACAACAGCAAAATAACAAAATCGTTATCACCAAACCTCTTGAAATAAGCACAAGGGTCTGCATTAAGTCTGTTGTATCCAAGGACATAATGAAAGAATCAAATCTCTTATACCAACACCTCGGTGCCTGCTTTAGACCGTACAGAGATTTGTTCAACCTGCAAACCAAGTTCTTCTTTCTTTTTCTCAAAACCTTCAGGCTGGAGCATATAAATTTTTCTTCAAGATTTCCATGAAGAAAGCTGTTTTAACATCTAGCTGCTCTAGATGTAAGTCCAATGTAGCACACATTGCCAAAAACTACTCAAACTGTTGTTAGTCGAACCACAGGAGAAATATTTCATTGAAATCAATACCTTCTTTTTGAGCATATCCTTTGACCACCAGTCTTGCACGATACCTCTCAACTTGATCGTCACCATTTCGCTTGATTTTGAAGACCCATTTGTTACCAATTGGCTTCCTTCCTTGTGGTAGTGGCACAAGGTCCAATGTATTATTTTTATGAAGGGCTTCAATTTCTTCTTGCATCGCCATCATCCACAGTGAAGCATCTGAGTTGTTTATTGCCTCCTGGTATGTTGATGGCTCACCGTCCTCTGTTAAAAGGCAGTATGCAATATTACCTTCTATAACATAATCTGAGTGACAATTGGGAAGTCTTCTCACACGATCTGATTGACGAGTTGTTGGTGCTTCAGATCTCTCTGGTTCTTGTTCATCATGTGCTGGTTCTGCTTCAGAAGAATCTCATTGTTCAAACTCCTTTTCCATATTTATCTGTGTAGTCTCTGACTTTTCAGTGCTATCACCGTCTTCTTTTCTTTGTAGTTTATCCTTTACAAAGATAACATCCCTGCTGATAATCACTTTACGGGCAGTGGGATCCCACAAGCGATACCCCTTGACTCCATCAGCATACCCCAAGAATTTGCATTTCCTGGATTTTGGATCCAGCTTTGAGATTTCTTGGGAGTTGTACATCACGTACACAATACTTCCAAATATATGGAGGTTTGAATAATCAGCTGGTTTACCAGTCCACATCTCCATTGGTGTCTTCAACTCTATTGCAGTTGATGGAGCTCGATTCATCAAATAGGCGGTATTGATGCTCTGCCCAGAATGATTTTTCTAGGCCTGCGTCCCTCAACATTGCTCTTGTTTTTCTAACAAGGTTCTGTCATCCGCTCTGCACTCCATTTTGTTGAGGAGTGTTTGCCACTGTGAACTGTCTTTTGATGCCTTCTTTCCTGCAAAAGTCATCAAAATCTTCGCTTGTATTCTCCTCCATTATCTGTTCTGAAACACTTGATCTTATTTCCAGAATCAAGTTCCACCCGCGCTTGAAGATTTTGAAAGTTGAAAACACATTGACTTCTTAATAGGATACACCAACATCTCTAGAGTAGTCATCAATAAATGAGAAAGTTTGCTCCACCTAGGGATGTAACTGGTGCTTGCCATACGTCAGAATGAACTAATTCTGAACATTTTGCCGCTATTTGACGTGTTGAATTTCAACTGTGTGCTTACTTGTTATGCAATGCTCACACAAAGTAAGTGATACCTTTGTTAAGTCTGGAAGTAGCTTTGCTCCACAAGAACTTTCATTCCTTGTTCTAACATGTGTCCAAGTTTTCTGATGCCCATAGCATTGCCAAATATGAACTACATGAGGCAACATAGGCTTCTGCTTCTACTAAAGTCTCTCCTTTCAGCATGTATAAGTTTGCAGCTATTTTTTTGCCTTTCAGCACCACAAGCGCTTCACGGAACACCTTCATGATTCCTTTCCGTGTTTCAATCTTGCTTGCATTATTATCCAACAATCCGTAGGATAATAAATTTTTCTTCAGGCCTTTCACGTGCCGCATCGAACAACTTTAATTGTTCAATCATACATCTTTAATTTGATGGTTCCCACACCACGATCTCTAAGGCTTGAGGTCATGTGATATGTCGCTCCCGAATCAATGAGTCATATATCTACAAATCTTTTTCTGCCTTCCACGGTGGTTGACGCTTCACAGCATAGAGCATCTCCATCATCTAAAGTGTTTACGGTATTGCCTTGTGGATTGGAGTTTTTATTTAGACTCCAACATCATCTTCAAGGACCCTTCTTTCCACAGTTGTAGCACTTTAAATTCTTCTTGCTCCTTGACTTCGATCTACCATGTTTGTGACTGCTGCTTTGGCCACGTTCTGTTGATCTCCCTCTCGTCGTTGTCAACGCTTCTTCTTGTTGCAGATTTATTTGTCTATCTTCCTTGTTCTTGCGCCGATTTTCTTCTTGTAGAACAGCAGCTGCAACGTCATCGAAGACTAGACTGGTGACATTATTGTCAAGTTGATGATGAGTTGATCATACGAATCCGATAGACTTTGAAGTAGAAGTTCAGTAAACACGTTGCAACTTGCATTTGATGTTATGTTTGTGCTGTGGGTGTGTGTTTAAATGGAAATGAAAACATTATATGCTATTATTGCAATAAAGTTGGAAGAAAGTTGGAAGAATTCTTGTGTAAGAACATGACCATGATACTTTGTTTCTGTGTCCGATTTTACCATTGTGCTACATCTTTTCATCTTTCAGTTAAAGAATAACCAACAGTCCCTTTCAAGTCCGTTCGAAAGTAGTGTCTGCTGCCGCAACATGGTAGGTTTTCCCGAGTTCATCGGCTTATGAATCTCCGACAGTGCCAGCACTGGCCCTCATTGTGGGCCTTTTTTTCGAGACAGATTTACACAATCATAAGCCAGACCAGCCATGTGATTCATTGTTGAACATCAAAAATTTCCATGAAGTCTGGATCTGCATGAAGTCTGGGATCTGCAATCTGTTCCCACCCTTCATGGTCTTTAAACCCATAGCCACCTATTCAATGTCAAAAGCCTTTTCAATATGTCGATGCAATAAGCACAGAGATCAGTTTTAGCAAAAGTAAGAGTGGTTTGGACGTACTACTCTACAATTTCCATGACCTTTTTGTGCGTTGTTGCCACTCATTATCTCGAATAGCAGTACCCCAAAACTATAAACATCGCTTTTTTCCGAGTAAACGTCAACGTAGTATATGTACTCGGATCTATGTATCCCAAAGTTCCCCTCACATCAGATGACGCAGATCTCTTCTCCTGCCTTGATATTCCGAAGTTAAACAACTCTCAAGAAACTCTATAAATTCTCTCTAGTATTGGAAGAAAGCTAGAATGCTTTGGGATGGTTTTGAAGCTAAATGAGCTAAGGTATTTATAGTAGAAGCTTTAAGGACTAATCTTGAAAATACCCTAAAAGTTTAATGACTAAAGTTTATAATTTGCCCATTTAATTTTCAACCATTGTTGTACCTAATTTTGACATTTTATATTTGGTGCCTACCATTATTGAAAATTTCATTTTTTTTTTCAACTTTGCTAAATGCACTTTCGGTGCATGCTTTCAACAATTTAGAGCAACATGACGCATGGTTGTGGAGTTGAAATCATTGAACTTGCAGGATAATATCTGAAAAAACTATTTACTGTGTCTTTCTTACAATATAAATGGGAGGCAAGACTTCCATTGCTCATGTAAGCATAAACAAGCATATGTCGTCTTCTGTCTGCGCTATAGCACATCAAGTTCACCAGGTTCCTATGGTGTAATCTTCCAAGCAACAGAACCTGGGAATGAAACGAAAAAATATTGGTATCTGCAAATACCTTCTCTTTTCTCCTTCGATGAGTAGAGAAATTGAAACAATTCGGCCTTAATGTGCATTTTGCGACCGACATCATTTGTAGTCTATAGTTACCTCTGTAAGGAACTCCATTGCACCCTGCTTGGAATCATTAGCAAGCACTTTAACAGCAACAGTCAGATCAGTTTCCATCCGAGCTTTGTAGACCGGACCGAATGCCCCTTCACCTATATTCGTCGTGAAATAACAAGTCGCTTTCTGTAGCTGTCTGCAAAAACATTCCGTCCCGAAATAGCATCGCAGTTTGTACGGAAAGAGAAAAAGAATTAAAGAAACCAGGGGATCGTATTTGTAACAGTATTGGTATCAACTTACGTGTAAGAGTACTTCGTATGCCACATGCGGATTCCACGCTCTTCCTCCTAAGCCCTTCCAACCATTGGGGCATGTTACTCCATTCGGATGTTCTAGGGGAATCTCGACTGACGTTCGAATCCGACAACATTGTGCTCGAATGTGATTCACTAACACAGATCCGAAGCTTTTCAGTTCTAAGACGAACCTTCCCTTATTAACAGAACGATCGAGATGCTTCCTTCGATACCTAATGCACCACATAACAGACATGGCTGAAACAACACCTACTGCTCCAATGATTAACCAAGAACTAGTCCCAATCGGAAGTTTTCATGTCTAAGTAAGATAATCAAAATGAACTAACCAAGATTATGAAATCATCGACCGAATCGCGGTGGATGACAAGAGACTAGTTGAACTCTTCAGTTAACTCTAGTCCTACCCCTTAGACAAAGACATATAAAATGGCATAGAGCATGCATAGATTTGATATTTATGACAAGCAATTAACCTGTATCTTTTATGTGTTTCCTTGTTTAGATGATTCAGGGTGGAAAGATGGAAATGAAAACTTACTTATTACTTAATTCTTTCTTTGGCAGTGCCACCTCAACAAAATCAAGCAGTATTAATATTTTAGTTTATTTTTGTGTAACAAAATATGTAATTAATCAGTTGCAATTCATTATAGGTTAATATCTTTTTTAGTTTCCGTATTAATTAAATTATCATTTGATATTTATAATTATTTTTCAATTATTATTAATTATTATTATTATTTCAAAATAATAAAATAATAATTTGTATTAATTTATATATTTTTATAATTAAATTCATTTTTTTAATCTATTTAAATTATATTTTGACCTAGTTAGATCGAGAGTCTGTCCATTAGAATTATACTTTTAAAAAATTTAAATTGAAAAAATAATAAATTAGGAATGAATTATTAAAAATAATTATTTAATTTTGATCGAATATGCATTAAATAATCGTATTCAGAGATAATGCTATGTTCATAATCTAAAGTCCTTTTAAATATACAAGCTAAACCATGTCATAATCGAGGGATTTATTGTTACTCTTGAGGTTCAATTCGAACACTTTATGCAAATATTTTTTAGGGATAATCTACGTTCATATTTACTTATTTATTATTTGTATATGAAAATTCTTAACATGGTTGTAAATTAAAGGGAGTGTTGTTCTGAATTCGAGTAGGTACGCCTATAAGGTACATGTTATATTAAGAAAATTCTGAAAAAGTACTACCTCATATTTAAAAAAAACTGTAAATTAAAATAAATACTATTTTAAAGAACTCAACCGTTGGGTCCATTGAATAATGATGGCCCATTGATTCCAACTATTTCACATTCAGCATAAGATTTGGCCAAAGATTACAGGCTTCGTTTAACCTCAAGATTCCATTGTTTAAGCTTGTAATTGAATTGCTCAAGCCCTGGTTGGATGCTATAAGTGATCGATCAACGAAGACGAAGAAGAAGAAGAAGCCGCGTACAACCAAAGAACATACCCGAGAGAGAGAGAAATTTGCTTGTGTGTTTGTATAGTAGAGAAAACATAGTGTAAGAGGCAACCCCCCTCTTCTCCGTTTCTTCTATATTTTTCTCCCTTTTTTTACCTATTCTATCCAGCTTCAATAAATCGGGGTTCCTCGTATTGTCTTTAATATATATTTACTTGCCTGTACAGTTTTTTAATTCATAAGAGTTCTGGAGTGAAAGAGGGCAAGTGCGGGGATTTTGTTCTTGTTCTTTGGGAGACAAAGGAACAAAGGGAGAAGATGTCAAAGAAGAAAGCATTCAGTGGCAGCACGATGACTTTAAAAGATTTTCACGGCGGTTTCTATCCCATCTGATCTTCCTCTCCCTTCTGCCCCTGGCTTGTAAGTTCCCAAATTTCATTTAAATCTGATTCTGTTTTTCTATTCTTCTTTTTGTTTATGATGTATACTTTGCTGGGTGTTATCCAAATTTTGAAATTGTGTTTTTTTTTATTAGATCTGAAAACCCTTTGGATCTGCTAGTGAAACCCTATTTTTTAATATTGGATTTTATGAGTACAGGACTGTTAGGCCTACCGATCGGTCGGGTTTTGATAAAGCTACATCGTGGGGAAACCCAACTGGACGGCCTGATCATCGTGCCCGGCCGAATTCGTCACCTGTAACTAGGCATTTTGATGATAAAACTCCATTTCTTACCAGTTCAGTTCATATTGGTCGTTATTTTGATGAGGATGAAAGGAAGCCGTTAGTTGGGGGTTCTGCCCCGCGTAGAACTATTACGATGAGAGTTTAGGGGTTCCAGCTAGTCGTCTGGAGCTGAAGCCAGAGTCTGGTCATGCTGGGAGGGTTTCAGGCCGACATGGCTCAGCTCCGGTAGCTCCATTGTCTAGTGGTTCGGGGAATCTCTACTCTAGTCGAGTTTCTGAGGCTGCTGCTGCTGGCATGAGTTCTCACAGTTCTGGGGGGAGTCATAGGCCTGCTGCTTCTGGTTATCCTAATGCATGGGCAGCTAGGAAGGGGTGGCAGTGAGTGTTGCTAATGCTGATAAAAGTGCTGTCTTGAAGTTGGCTCATGCTAGTGCTATTGACAAAGTTTCCTCTGTAGATGGCAGTCAAAGCAATCTGTTCTATATCAGAAAGATGTTGATGTTAGTAAACACTCGGAAACAGAAAATGGCTTGCATCCCCAGGGTAATGATGATAAGATATACGGCAGAATGAATGCTGTGGTGGGAGGGAGTTTTTTGATGTGACATTGGCAAGGCAAGTTGAAAGAGGACTGAACATTGAAGATGGAATTCATGGTAGTAGAAAGGCGTTACCAGACTATGAGAGGAACCGCACTCCTAACTATTTGGAAGTTAAAGAAAATAAATCAGTAATTTATGGTGAAGGAACTCAATCAACTCGTGCAGATGGCAAATTGGCAATTCCAAGTTGCAGTCATCGTTTTCAGTGCCGTCTGAAGCATCCGAGCGGCCCAAGTTGAAGTTACTTCCTCGCACCAAGCCATTGGATAATCTAGAATCACCTTTTATTGACGCTAGTCAGGTATTTGATGTTATGCCGTAGTATTGAATCTTGCGTTTACTTTTTGTTCTCTCCTATTTCTGATTATTTTCTTGTAATAGAGGCAGCAGCGACCAAGTGAATCTGTTATTGATCATGCCGGAATTGGCAATGATTCATATGGATATGTGAATACTTCAAAACCTGGTTCAGCTGGCAGTGAGAATGGGAACCAGACAGTGGATCGTCCTAAACTGAATTTAAAGCCTCGTTCACAGCCCAATGAACAATTGGAGGGTAACTTTGAGAAGGAAAGGTTAGTATGTGTGTAGATTTAAATTATATAACGATTAATTTAATGAGGGTGAGAGACAGAATTATTATGATATTTGAGTGACAAAAATGATGCATTAGAAAATTGACACCCAGTAATTTCTATGGGGAAAATTTGGAATTTAATAGTCTCATAGTGCTAAACAGGGATTTGAGTTTAGCCATTACATCATGATTGGGGCAATAATTTAACTGTGAATCATTGATTCACATTGCCATACACAACTAATCTATCATACTTAACTCGAATGATAGTTTCCTTTTGTCCATCATACTTGGCTACAATTCTTATATTTTCGTTGCATGTCCTATCAACATCTACAGTAATATCGGATGCATGAGGGTGTTTTGTTTTAGTTTATTTTTCTGGAAAAATGTCACTTTAAGGTTTATGGATATTTTATTTGCCAAGTGTTACTGATGCAGAAATGCATTGTTTGGTGGCGCTCGCCCACGAGAATTGGGGGTGAATCTCTCCTTGTCTTTGGATTGTTTCAATGTTTTTTTAATCACTATCTGTTTGATGTCAACATAATTTGATTTATTATTATAGCTTCACACTTGTCATTATTATTGTTAATGTGGTTTTCATCATAACAGCTGACGGTGTTGCTGTTCTGCTTCGCAGGTTCTGAAGGAGAAGGGAATTGATGACAGCAGCCATGAGCCAGGCCAACATCCTGATAGGTAATCATTTCTTGTTTTTCATACCTTTGTGCAACATTTTCCCCTTTTTGCTTATCGGGTTCGTTCACCAATTGACTTAAACTTAACGTACCATGTCTTCATTAATCGTTATTGTTATGCGAAGGGTCAAACATAATTTTCCCAGAAGTGAAAAAGTTGCTGAGCAACCAGCTGCATGCCATGGTGAAGGAGTTGGGAATCCTCCTGTTCAGAAAACTGGAAGAAAATCCGAGAGGAACCACAGTGTTCACAATGGAAGAGTTGATATGCAGAGGAGGAACTGGCTTAATGAAAATCGGCAGAATGAAAGGGAAACTGAAAGACAGCAGCAGCAGCAGCAGAAGAGGCAGCCGTCGCCTGAAACCTGGCGTAAGCCTGCCGAGCAGCCTAAACCTGTCTCTCCCGAAGGTGCTGGTATGCGCTATGGAAAAGCAGCATCAGCATTGGAGCTTGCTCAAGCGTTCTCCAATCAGAAAAAAGAGGATCGACATGGCGGGCAAAGGGTTCTTCCTGGCCATGCCCAAATGCCCTTTTCTCGGCTGATGGATCCAACTCCAAGGCCTCAAATAAATGGTTATTAAATTTTGAGAGGCTTATTGCCTTAACCGGAACACGTTGTGTTGCCGGTGACTGCCTAAATGATTTTAGGATGTCGGTTATTGTAGTTGTGCTGTATGACTCTCATGATTTCATGCAGTTGATCTGTTTTTGTTTTTTCAATTTTAAAACAAAATTTTAGAACAATTGGCACATCAACTCATTTGCAATGTCATCCTCCCTTGTCTTTTTCAAGTGATTCCCAATTTTTGCTAGTTTTATTGCAGTACTACATTCATCTTTGCTGCAACAACCAATGAGAAATGGGTAGTTTCCTCTTCTACAAAGGGATGGAATCAAAAGCAATGACATTGCATGATCTTTGGTAATGTGGTTTTGAGAACCATGCCCATCTCCATGTTGATAAATACAATGGGCTGTCCTCACCAGATTCAGTTAATTCCAATGACAGTCTGGGATAATGGGGAAACGGTAGCTCGGTGTGTATTCACCTTCTTCATGCCTCTCTCATTAGATTCTTTATATGTTCACGGGCAGCTTCCTCGGGGACTCCGTTTCCATGCATGTAGCATTTGATGGATTTCGCAACATCACCTCTCTTTAACTCGTCCTGAACTCGAAGCGAAATATGATCAGTTCATGGAATTCAAAGTTCATCTAATAAAAGCTGTTTGGACGGTTTCATACCGGTGAAGTTCCTAATCATCTTGAAGTCGAAAAATCACAGATGACCAATGTAATAACTCAGGGTAGCTTTGGAGGAATTCGAGTTCCTTCTTGTTTATCTTATTTGTTACAAATAGACTCGCTTGAGTTGCTACTAAAGGGCCTGTTATTGATATCCATGCATTCTCCATGTACTCTTCAAAACTTGGTGTGTATCTACTGTGGTACCATCTTGCCTCCAACATGTAGGATCTCAGTAAATCAACCCACTGACGCCATAGCCAGATCAGAGAAAGAGTTATGATAACCTGTCACAATGCCTTAAATCAGATGGAATTCATGAGAGATGATACATTACCGCCTTTTTAAGATTCCACACGTCATGACCTTGTTCTTTGAGGATGTCGTAAGCCATTTCGTTAACAGTGTTATAAAGTGCAAGGAAGCATATCTTCATATAGTCCGGGAGTTGTTTCATTGCCTTAATATCCCACCTGAAACATGAAGAAAAGTGACAAGAAATCAATTGATCCTCTCTTGGGAAAGTAACAAGGCATGTGCTGCAGATACCAGAACAATTTCCCGCCAACCTCTCGACGGCATCAGTGAAGAGCTGAAGTTCTTCCAATGTACCATAAACGTCGTAAATATCATCTATCACCGTGATTAGTGCAATGGCCTTTGTAAGTGTTTTCCTGCAGCGTCCGAACTCGGGCTTGAAAGCTATCCCTACTGCCCATAAGAAGGATTCCACCAACCTATTCCTGGCAAAGCTCAATTTCTCTCCAAGACCAGTGTTCTTCCACCACCTTTTGCAATAAAATTCAAGTACATGAAAACCGATTACTACATGTTTTATTATGTTTATATTATATATATGATTCATTTACCTTGACATATCCTTGAGTTCTTCTTGGTGCAGTGCTTGTAAAACGTTGAAGTCCAACTTTGCGAGCTCTAATACATTCGGGTTCGAGTCCGATCTTCTTTCGTATACATTGATGTACCATCTTGCTTCTAATCTCGGCGTTCTCCAGTGTAATGGTAGCTCCATGGCATGCCGGACTTGGAAGGCGAGAATAGGATCCGTGTCATCCTTCACATATCCGAGATTCTCAGAGGTAAAGTGCCAAGCTGCCTCCATTATGCTTTCTCCTTCGAAACAGTAGTATGAAGCTTCATACAAGCTCAGCATTGCCTTGATATCCTTAGATAGAGATGGCCTGAAACTTCCTATATCGTCCCGAAAACAGTCGAAAACTTCTGCAATCGAGCAAAACCAGTAGTTAAAAACACCCCAAACAAGAATTTCATTGTAAATTACGGAATCATTTGTACCCGGAGATGAATGATATCCGTATTCCCTGAGGAGCCTAAATTCCAAAGCTGCTGCATATAAATTCTCCTTCCTCATTTGATTGTCACTGTTCTGATATACGTTCCCTAACATGTTGTTAATCTCGTCATCAAAATGATATGCCACTCCAAGCTTCAGCAAGTTGTCGATCATCTCGAGTTGATCCAATAGCTGATCATGTTCCACAATATTGTCCAGAACCATCTTCACTTTTCCTTTCAGCACTTCAACTTGCTTTGCATACTCATGTCCCTGGAATCTTAAACGATCTAATTCACCGAGAACGACATATATAACTTAGTTAATGAAGACAATGATAATGATAACTATACCTTATAATCGCTGCTCAACAACTGCAGATCATCATCATTCCAAAGGCAAGGCTGGTAGTTCCCTGACCTCCTCCTACCGGTTGATGAACAGAAAATTTTTGAGTTAGCAACATATTTGACACTCCCTCTGCATCTTTGAGAGATTAATGGTGCAACCTTGGGTGTTTTACCTAAGAAAGATGGAGTTAACGAAAGAAGGGAGGAAGCCATTTAACGATTTAAAGCTCTTAATTGAGTAGAAAAATACTACATCAATGTTGTTATTTTACAAAGGAGATTAATCTGAACAGTAATATATATATAAAGAGTGTTAGAAATCAAACCTAACATTTTTTTTAAGTCGGCAATAAATTAATAAATTTTATATTATCAATATATATACATATGCACAAACTTTATAAAATATTTTTGAATCTGTAATACAAGAACTACGACCAGATTACAATCTAATTAGTTATTAATAATAGTAATTAGAGACATATTTTTAGTATTAATCACAATCTATCTTGTCGGCTATCCTATGTTGGGGAATGTTCCAAAAATCTTAGTATCAACCTTTACCAAAAAAATGGTGAATCCCTTGCAACAAATATTGTGCAATTGACCCTAAACCCAAGGACTTATCCAAAAGGCAAAAGGTACAAATACATGAATCGGTTCACAGATAATTTGAAGACGGCATTGGTGTCGTAAACTTCTGGGAACCGCACATCAAGAACACCTCCTTCCTTCTTTTACATGCAAACATGTGGTTGCACACATAATTTTATACTAAAACAAATAACTTACAAAATTTTAAAAAAAATAATTTCATAAAAGTTTAAAGCGAATGAAAATAAAATTTTAAGAGATAAGAAAATTTGAAAATTTTAAAGAAAGCAACCATCCCTTACAAAGGCGGATGTACTTACTCCCGTAGGTGCATACTTATTGTTTTAGATAAATTATTAAATATAATTCAATATATTAGGGGAAATAAAAGAAATTTTCATACTCATTTTATTTAAAAAAAGAATATTAATTTTTTTAATTCTGTTTTTAAATTACTAAATCCATTTTTGATCTCTTACATTTATATATATATATATATATATATTGCACTTTTAAATTTTAACAACTTTCATAAAATTTAAAAAATAATAATTTAAACAGAATCAATTAAATAAAATAACTTTAGTGACTGATTAAGTATTTATTTAGAAAAATTCTACGACGTTCGACGAGCGTTGACGAGTACGGTATACGATGAGTACCATTAAGTTAAATTATAAAATCTTTAAATCATAAAGTACTAAATGTATAATTATAAATTAGTTAAAAATCTAAATGTAATTTAATTAAAACAAAATATTTATAAAAATTAGTTTTTAGGATAAACTATCCATTGACCACCTAACTATTTACCTTTTTTTACTTTAACCATCAATTTTTCAATTTTATCAATCGAGTCACCTAACTATTTAAATCTTGTCAATCAAGCCACATGCCGTTAAATATTAACGGATGAGATGATGTGGCAGTTAATAAAATTTTTATAATTACACATTTAGTCCTCATTACTTACACATTATTAATGTGATCCGAATTTTTAATTAATTAGATGGTGAAATGTGTAAATTATGTGATTTGATGTTTTTTCTTAATATTTTTTAAATTTAATAAATTTTTTATCCAATCAAAAGATGTCATATGTCACCAATTGAGGAGAGGAAGCAAAAACGCCCTAACCATTGGGCTGCACCATTCAAATAACAAACCTATCACGACATAATATATATAGTTAATGGCAATAAAAAATGGAAAAAGACCTAATAAGAACTCCAACATGGAATAGTTGAATAATACGATAATATGATATATATACTCAAATATTATAACTGATTAATATGTGAATGTATTTTATTTATAATTTAAATCATTTTAATGAAAAATAAAAATGATTTTAATATATAATAATTGAAATACAACGAAGAGCTTCGTTAACTTAGAATTTCCCTTATAATTGAAGACTTATCGTAACAAGCATTTTAACTTATGCGTTGACTTGTTTATATCCCTGTTAGAGTAAGAATTATATATTTGTAGAGGAAACTTGATTTTATTGAATTAGTCTATTTTAGTTGTTAAATAAGATTAGAATCCAATTGACGTTATAATATTTTAAAATATAAGATATGATACATTTCAGTTCAATAAAATTAGAATAATGAAGATAATTTATTATTTTAAAATATGTAAAATGATACATTTCAATTATAACATAATAAATTCACTTTTATTTTATTTTTTCATTAAATGTGATTTAAAATATAAATAAAACATATTCATTTATTAATCAATTATAATATTTGTTTATATATATTTTATATTTTCATACTATTTAGTTATTTCATGTTTGAGTCTTTATAAGGTCATTTATTACCATTAACTATATTATAAATTATATAAATTATGTTTTGTACGCTAGACAACACACAGTGACACATGTCACCATCAAAATGAAGATTAAATTTATTGAATCAAATAAAAGTTAGGACCAAATTAATAGAATGCGTAAGTAATGAGGACTAAATGTATAATTATACAAATTTTATTTATTGTCACATCATCTTCTCCGTTAATATTTAATGACATGTGGCTTGATTGACAATATTTAAATAGTTAGGTGACTCGATTGACAAAATTAAAAAATCGGTGGTTAAAGTAAAAAGGGTAAATAGCTAGGTGATCAATGATATAGTTTACCCTAAAAACTAATGTTTTATAAATATTATATTTTAATTAAATTACATTTAGATTTTTAACTAATTTTAATTATATATTTAGTATTTTATGATTTAAAGTTTTATAATTTAATTTAATAGTGATCATCGTTTACCCTACTCATCAACACTTACCGAGCGTGACAGCATCAACCACTTATTTAATTGACACATTATTGTTATGAATTATATAAAGAAAAAAAACATAAGACATGTGATGGATATAAAGACTTTTAAGTCAATTTGTATTTGTATAAACTTTAAGTTTATCTAAATTATAATGGTTTGTCTGTACTTTTTTCATCTAGATTTTTTTTTATATAAAATATGTGTGTTCATTTTATTTCTTTTATTTAATTTATAATTTTATATTCTTATCTTGTCTAATTTCATAATAAATACTCATTAAAAAATAATTTAAATATTTTAAAATAATAAATTTCAAATCTTCAAAATAAAATAAAAATCTATTTATTGTGCTTTGACTTGGCATATGAGTTGTTTTAATAATAATAGAGTGCTTTGTGGGTCAATACTGTCTGTTGCCAAAAAATATTTGAAATCCATAGTACTTCTTCCTTCCCAAAAAAAAAAAAAACTTTTTATACATTAGGAGAAAGTGGTAAACCCATAAGCAAGGTGAAAACAATTGAATTATATAAAAATATATTTTAAAATTAAATGGTAATATTTCTTTTAAACAAAGGTGGTAATTTTTTTTATTTAAATGGTTATTTTGAATGAAAGGAATAGTTTGATCTAATTAGTTAAATAGATAAATACATTGATAAAAATTATGATTTATATATAAGAAAACTTAGGGTAAACTACAATGGTAATCACTAAATTTGTAAGGTGATTTTATTTTTATCATCGAACTTAATTTTTTTTATTAAACTCATTATTGTTAAGAAAAAAATTATTTTGATCATTGAATTGTGAAATCATTAACGATAATTGTTTGTAGTATACCCACAAATCAAGAACAATTGAATCTACATGTTCACATATAATTTTCCTTAATAAATTAATTATGAACAAAAATCCTCTACTCCATGTTTGTGCCCCTGTGCCTGCCTCCTGTATATTTTTTTGACACATCTTTCAATTGATCCCTCATTCATTCATGTTGTTTAATTTATTTAAATTTCAGTTTATAATTTTATATTTGTTCAACCTAATCCTTAAAAATATATTTTTTTTATCAAAATTACTCATAATTATTTCGTTTTTTAATTTACTCCAAATCTTATACAATTGCAAAGAACAATTCGACGTTCATGAAAGGCAGAAAATAATTAATCCAAAAATGATTTGACCTGAAGTTGTAAGATTAAACCTGAATATATCTGTCAATGATGTGACTCAATCTGAATGAGATTTGACCTGAAGTCCATCCCAACTTGATATATAATTAATTTGGACCCTAATTGTTCTCACCTGAACTAATATCATTTTAAATTAAAATTAATTAGAACTGAACTCGTATTAAATCTAATTTCAAATCAATTTGAAAATGACATTAACTGATTTGACTCAATTTCGACCTGATGTGAGTTAAACTATTAAATTGACTTGACATAATTCGTATCTAATTTGATTTAATCTAATATGATCCAACTTAAACCTAAACGATTATCTAATTTCACGTATATAAAAGTAGCTTCCGAAATACAAGTCCTGCACGTTTATATCATGTTTATAGTTCATCAGATAATCTTATATAAGTACAGGCCTTTGCCTTTTCATTTAGCATGAACAAAACCTCACAAATTAGCAACAATCCAACGTTGTTCCAATGGCTTTAGTTTCAACACTTTCTTTCTCGCCCCCGAATTCTCCCATTATCATGAACAAAACCCCACGAATTATCCACAATTCCAGCGTTGTCCCTCCTTCATCGTCGCCTAGGATACCTAGATGCATCGTTGTTCCAGATCACAGTTTGGCCCCTACACCCTCACAATACTTCGACCGCACATATGGACATCCCATTATCACTGTGAGTTCGTTTTTTTTTTCATATTTCTTCTTATTATTATTGTTACGGTGATGACGCGACATTAACAATAGTTTGGACAGCAGGATGAGTTTAGGGTTGAGCATGCAAACAAATTGGAGACGTTCAAGCGTATATTTGGAGAGGTTAGTGAAGACCCATTACAAGGTCTGGCCATGACCGATGCTATCCAACGACTAGGAATCGACCACCATTTCCAGCATGAGATTGAACAAGTTCTGCAAAGGCAGTATATGCTATCAGGCGATAACTATGTTCATAACTGCGACCTTCACGAGGTTTCCCTTCGGTTTCGATTGCTCAGACAAGGAGGCTACTTTCTCCCTGCAGGTGTGAAAATTGGACCATTTTTTTTCTTCCTGTTTTTATTTAATGGACTGATAATGGAAATGGTTTTGCTATAAGACAGGAGTGTTCAACAGGTTCAAAGACAAGGAAGGAAGTTTCAGACATGAACTCTGCATGGACATCAAGGGATTGATCGAATTGTACGAAGCTTCACAACTTGAAATTGAAGGAGAAGATGTTCTTGATGAAGCAAGAGAATTTAGTTTCAAGAACCTGAGTAAATGGCAAGATTCAAAGGGGGGCCATATTTCTAATACACTGGACCAACCTATTCATAAAAGCCTGCCGAGATTGAAAGCCAGAAACTTGCTAACCAGTGATTTACAAGCCACAAATGGATGGTTAAACATCCTCCAAGATGTAGCCAAAATGGATTTCAATCTAGTTCAGTCCTTGCATCAGAGAGAAATAGCTCACGTTTCCGAGTAAGATTCACAATTCATCAAAGATTTAAATTACACAAAAGAATCCCAAACTCACTCCTTTTCTTTCATGTGTTTAGTTGGTGGAAGCAGCTGGGTTTAGCAAAGGAATTGGGGTTTGCAAGGGACCAACCAATGAAATGGTACATTTGGTCCATCACTTGCCTCACTGATCCAACTTTGTCTGAACAAAGGATTGATCTCACAAAGGCCATTTCTTTAATCTATGTAATAGATGATGTTTTTGATGTTTATGGGACACTTGATGAACTCACTCTCTTCGTGCAAGCTGTGGAGAGGTAATACAATGTGGACCACCCATTATCAAATAAATATCTCTTCCTTTTCCTTTTCCTTTTCCGTGCTCCATCACAAGTTAGATTCTTCAAGTGTGTCTCACGAGTTCATTCAAATCCAGATATTCATAAGATATTTATTCATACTTAGAACAAAAAACAGAAGAATATTTGATTCAAAAATGAAAGTGTAATAGTTTTCCTAAAACGGAAGAAGTAAAGGATAAGATTAATTAATGCAGGTGGGATTGTGGAGCAAGTGATGGGCTGCCGGATTACATGAAACTATGCTTCAAAGCTCTTGATGATATCACCAATGAAATTAGCCAAAAGGTGCACGAGGAATATGGTCGCAACCCTATCGACTCATTAAGGAAGGCGGTACGTCTTTTTTTATAATCATTGATGTTCGATTCGTTGGTGAACAGGAACTGATGTGTGTTGATTATTGCAGTGGAAAACTTTGTTCAGAGCATTTTTGGTAGAAGCAAGATGGTTTGGTTCAGGGAAGTTCCCAAAGGCTAGGGAGTATTTGGAGAATGGAATCATTAGCTCCGGTGTACATATAGTTTTGGTTCACATCTTCTTCCTCCTTGGGCTCGGCTCGACTGATCAAAATGTCGAGATAATCGACAACAATCCATCCATCATCTCCACCACTGCAGCAATCCTTCGACTCTGGGATGATTTAGGAAGTGCTAAAGTATACATTCTTTAACGTAAAGTTATGTGATTCACTGCCCGTGCATCAAATATAAATCTTACTATATTATCGATTGTAGGATGAGAACCAAAACGGACACGACGGATCCTACGTCGATTGCTACATGAAAGAACACCAAGACATCGAGATCGAAAGCGCGAGGCAACATGTTATCGATATGATTTCGGATGCATGGAAAGCCCTCAACCAAGAATGCCTTTCCCGGGAATCGTTTTCCATGACTTTCTGCAAGGCTTCCTTGAATATTGCAAGGATGGTTCCGTTGATGTATAGTTACGACGAAAAGCAACGCCTTCCGAGCTTGGACGAGTACATTAAGTCCCTACTCTATCAAAGTGTACCCATGAAAACTCTTTTCCCAACAAAAATTTAAACAAAAATCAACAGTTCCAAAATTAGAGGATTTCATGAGTACAACGTGATGAGTTTCTCCGGTTGTTCTATATGATGAAAGTTAATTATGTTCTTGAACTACTATATGATCAATCAGCTGTTCTGTACGCATGCCTGATAAAGTATTGTATTCTAAAATAATCACCTCCAGAATTCCTTGATAATATCATTGTCTTGTTTCAAACCAACATCTAACGTGTGCACCCAAATTTTTTTTTTTTTGAACCTTAAATTTTACAAAACTTAATGGTACACATCTACGTGGACAAATGTATATAGTGGTATAATGTTATTTTAGGTTATTTTTAAGTTAGATATTAGTAAAATAATGTCTTTCGTGGACTCTGTCATTTCTTTTTAAGGGGAAAAAAAGATATGGACAGCACTGTCGCCAACTTTTTTAAACAACAGATAATAATTGGAAGACGATACACACTAAAACTTTTAGTTCAAGTTAAAAAAAATAGTGTACATTTTCTCAAAGATATTTAAGAAATTAAACGGCTCTTTAACGGAACGTTATGTGGTGTCTAATATTTCTTCTTCCGTCAATCTCCCTCTTCACCTTTAAACTTTAAAGCAGGTGTTTTCCATTTATAACAGAAACGACAAATGGATACGGATTGAACAGTCGCTTCTGTCGATTGTTTGATGTACTCTCTTTTATGACAACATTTTTCAGCAACCTAATGTCAATCAAATGGATACTGAAGTACTAAATTGCGATAGTGATCATAGTTGTGGTTGTGGTATTACGATAGCGATTGCGGGTGTTACAGATATTACAACGTGTTTTATTTTTTAAAAGTAATTTTATTTTTATGTTACAGACGCAATTCACGCTACGATGCCTCCATAATTTAATTTTATGGCTGAAGGTAATCTTGAGACACGCGTTCGTTGCAAAGTAGTGGGTGACATTTGTTGAACCCTACATATATAATTCCCATGTGTTTTACGCAAACAGCCAAATTTGTGTACTAGTACATAGTTGGGCATTTGTTTTTGCCGAAATTTCAAGGATAGAGCGTGACTGATGCGATTGAGATAGAGGAGCAGAAGAGAGAACAGTAGGAATTTCTCACAAATTATATAAATGTTGAGAATTGAATATAAATTTGGAGCACTCAGTTGATTAGATTTTAAAATTCAAAATTTTCAAATAAAAATAAATATTTGATTTAAACTTTGAGGTCAAATTTTATATGTGTGAAATTATCTTTTAATTTTTCTTTTATATGTTTAATAATAAATATTTATATCTAAATCAAAATAAATAATTTTAAAAAAAAAAATGTAATTCTTTTGAAACATTTTATAACACGTTTCGTGTCCTCAACACTCCATCATTGCTTGGATGACAATACAGACCAAAGACTAGTGAGTTAAATAGGGAATGATTGTGGACGATAAATATTCCATCACAAATAGAGGAAAGAAACACGGCATCATATGTTTTTCACGCATGAATTCTCTAATCAACCATGAAAAGAATTTTAAATCTTCGTATAGTTTAAATATATTTTTTATATTTCTTATTGAGGATATAATTTCGTATTTTATAAAATTTTGTAATTTTACGTCTTTTATGTTTTTAATATAATTTCTTAAATTTATACTCTCTAATATAAAATCATGCATATATCTTTAACTATATCCAAACTCAAAATCAAAGCATCGATCATGCTGATTTTACTAAGAAAATGCTACTGTTAACGTTTATCATCGTCATCAGTTGTTTGATCGTTCTCTTTGTTTAATTTTTTATGGTTGAGTTTGATGTCACTTCGACTGATCAATGTAACGCTTATTTATTATCTTATTGGTCTTCCTTGCTTTTGACACTCATATTGGATTTGGATACTTTGTTTGCATCCAAAGATAGTTTTCTCACGATGTTCAACTCCGATTTGTGATTGTCAGTGATCTTTTAATAGTTTGATCTCTCACTCTGGTTAATTTGTCGATATAGTCATATCTTTTCGTAGCTATATTTTATTTGAATTTTTTGTATGAGCTTTTAACATTTTTCTTGTATAATCTCAAATGATTAGTTTAATATAATTTTTTAAATTTGTACTCTCTAATATAAAATGATGTGTATATCTTTAACTATATCCAAACTCAAAATCGAAGCATCGATCATGCTGATTTTACTAAGAAAATGCTAATGTTAACGTTTATCATCATCGTCATTAATCACTATTGATAAAAGTTGTCTCTAATCCAATTTTGTAAAACCCTAACAACGCTTGCCCTAGTTTCCTTTTCAAATTTGCGTCGCTTGACATTTTTCATCTTTATTAGTCGGTGACAACACTAGTTTTAGTGTTGGTCGTCGACCGCCCACATTTCTTATTTTAATTTACTTTCTTATATAATAATTTTATTTTCTCCTTGTTTGTTTGCTTTTTAATAATTATGTCTTTATGACATATTTTCTATGTTTTTTGGTACATTTGTGGGCTTTTTTATCAGTTGTTATATCGTTCTCTTTGTTTAATTTTTTTTGGTTGAATTTGATTTCACTTCGACTGATCAATATAACACTTATTTATTATCCTATTGGTATTCTCTGCTTTTGACACTTATATTGGATTTGGATGCTTTGTTTGCATCCAAAGATAGTTTTCTGACGACGTTCAACTCCGATTTGTGATTGTCAGTGATCTTTTAATAGTTTGATCTCCTACTGTGGTTAATTTGTCGATATAGTCAGATCTTTTCGTACCTATATTTTATTCGAATTTTTTGAATGAGCTCTGAACATTTTCCTTGTATGATCTCAAATGGCTAGTTTCTTGTGTCAATGGTTATAGGAAATGTCCTAATTATATATTTAGTTTACGCTTAAAACTATAAAATTTTATTATAATTTTAATAGAACTAACCAATTCTATTTGCCCCTTATCTATGTTATTGGCTTTATTTAACTATATGTATAGAGATAAATTTGCATATAAGGGCAGGTGATAAGTAAAATAAGACAACCCCAAACTGAGATCCAACTTATTCATAGGGTTATCTGCTAAACTTGTCCACTATGAAGCCCAAAATTAGATGGAACAAGCATAGGCTACTTGCACAAGTGGTGGCCGAACAATCATCTAAGATTTTAAATTAATCAATAAACTTTGAGCTAAGAAAATAAAATCATTCCTTAATTCTAATTTTAATTAATGTGATAATATTTTTTATTAAAAAAAGTTTATTAAAGAAACCAAAGATTTACAGAACTAGCTAGAACATAGTTCTATGCAATTGAGAAGAAAAGAAGAAGATACAATTTCAAAATGTAGGGTCTAGTAGAGATTTTGTCACTTGATTGCTGCTTTCCTTATTTTTACATTATATTTACAAACATGACCTCTAGAAATCCTATTTCGTAAGAGAACAAGGAAACAAAATCTCTTTTTTAAGCAATGAAATCTTCACTTCTGGAAATCAAATTTCTCCTTCCTACCCAACTTCTCTGCCATAATTTCTGCATTTAATAGCATTGAAGACACTTAATTTCACAAAATTATGGGAAATAATTTAAAGAAAATAATCAATAATTCATCTATGTTAATGAGAAACAATACAAAATTAAAGTGAATTGTAATGGCTTTCAGAAAGTGTAGCGAAAAAGTGCATTTACGTTGTTTTGTTTACTGATTCTGTTTAGGAGTCGGATGTGGCTGGATTCCGAATTTAACCGTACCTACCGGAGGTTATGTACCGAAAATATAAGGAATAGAGAGATGATTACCTTGAGGCATGCACGAAGGAGGAACTTCAAAGAGAGAAATAGAGAGTTGCTTATGAGCAACACCAATGTCAAACAAGATAATCCCAGGAGAAGGATCATTAACAATGATGCATTTAACCGGCAACCACAAAAACAACTCTTCCTGAGTCAGTCCTTCGAGCCCCACCAGCCCTCCGTAACTAAGGTTGGCTCTCACCACACGATCAAAGTACACTCTCCCATCGAACTCCGCCATGCACGAACTTTCCAACCGCACTTCAAGTCGACCGTCACGGTCGAGTTGATACGACTTAACATTGTCCGGGAAAATACCGGCAGGCAGGCCTCGACTCCGAAGGAGATCCTGTATCGGGGTGGTGGCTGTCAAAGGAAGAAGAAGTAAAAGAGCCATGAATACGAAACCGATTTTCGTAGACATTGTACTAAGAGAGGTTTGGATGAAAGTGATAGAAGGAGAAGCTGAGTTTTTGTTTGAGGGTTTTGAGTGTGATTATACAATTAATAGTAATCGAGCCAAGTCTATGATTGGAAATGAAAAAGGGTCTTGAAGGAGTGCATAATTTATTGGCATACCGTTAACTGATTTATCTATATATATTTGGAGGCTGATTAGGTTATAAAAATTAGGAAGTTAAGTATTGATGCTATTTTCAGTCAATTATTGACTCTAATATACATTATCGTTTGGAATTATAATATTCAATTGGTGACACATTCTTAATTATTTTTTAACCATTTGTTCTGTATAAAACACTTTACTGTTTTATATATAATATCATAAAACGTTAATATTCTAAATTGATATATTAATTTATATAAAAAAATCTATAGTATAAATATTAATTTATTAAAATTTATAAATATATATATATCTTTTATAAATATTGATTGATTTGAATATATACAAACACAATACATATATACCAATTAGCAATATCAAATAAATGACACAGGAGTTACAACTTTATCCTCCCCCAATGTATTTTTTAAGACAATTTCTATCTAGAAGAGTGGAAATAGAAAAGGAAACTTTAATAAGTATTAAACTCACAACTTCATAAAAAAATGTCAATTCAGAGTTTTTTTTTTATCGATATTCGATTTAAATTGACTAATCTGGCTCAGGTACTGAAGAGATAAAGACGACTCTCTCAATCCAGTCTACTCCGTTCGTAAACGTCAGGATTCAAACCTCTAACATTGCTTGAAGAATCTATTGCATCTCCAAATTCATTAATCACTTTACATGTATTGGACGCATTATAGGCTTAATTTTATCAATACCCCACATAAAAGTATTCCAAAGGACCAATCCATGAAAATGCAGAATATGGAATTTTAAAGCGCTCTCATCGCCTCCTCCTTGTCCTCTTCAATGTCATACGCTATAATTTTGCTTTATTTTAATTTAAATAATACTTTATTAGAATTCATTAAATGATTTTAGTAGTTAAATGGAGTGTTATTTTCCCATAAAATCCTGAGTTCGAGTAATTATATCCGTAAAATATGTATTATTAATAGTTAAAAAAAATTTCTTCAATAGATATTATCCTATAATCGTATTTGACCATTCAAAAAAACTGATCTTCGATGCACTTTTTCTCAATACCAAGAAATCGCAGACTTCTTCAACCTTCCCCTACAAGAATGGATACCTCTAAATCTCGGCTCCAACACCCTCCTTGTAGGTACTTCAATACCTTGGAAACTCATGCTTTCTTTTCTTCTTTAGCAGTTTTGGAAGCGACGCAATTCAACGATTTTCTCCAACCTCGCTCCCTCCATCAACGTAATCACTAGTCTAGGTGAGACGTGGACTACTCATTATGGCATATCTACTCCCTCTCGTATGCGCCACTCGCTGCCAAACCAACCCAACGAAGTGAGATGGCAGCCAGCCCCCACTACATGGATCACGATTAACTCTGATGAAACAGTCCATCCTCGTAACTCCCTTTGTATGGTTAGAGGTCTCATTCGTAATCTCGACGGTGATTGGTTATTTGGCTTCCACAAATATCTTGGGATTTCACAACCTCTCCACGCAGAACTTTGTAGGATGATCGTAGAGAAAATCATAAGAAAAACGAAGATCATCCCCGTGAAACTTTTTCAAGTACTTTTTCCACTTTAAATCAATATTTATATATTTATAGGTTTAAATGAAAAAATGTTAAGTTTTCCCAATATTTACTTATAAGTTTTTCGTTAAATTTTATTTGTCATTAATGATATGATATTTTGTGGTTTATGGACAAAGTATAAGACTCACGTACCAACGATACAATTATTCTAAATTAAATTTATGATGATTATTTATTTTCTATCAATCTATCAAATTAAGTTAGTGTAATCGATTAACCAACTAACTTGATTTAAAAAAGGACAAAAATATACTTTATTTATGTAACATCCTCTATCTAATTTGAAAACTTAATCGAGCATAGATTTCACTAGGGTTGTTCATTCGGTTAATTCGGTGGCCGACCGAATCGAATTAATCGAACTTTTTTTTTTCTTTAACCTTTAACCGAACCGAACTTTTTTTCGAAAATATTAACCGAACCGAATTAAATATTTTTTAATTAAAAAAAACAGTTTCTAATTAATTTAAATAATATATAATTATAAAATAAAAATTTTATAATTTTTTTAATTAATTAATATTGATTTAGGTTTAAAAGTTATTGGATCTTAAATTATTAATTGGGTTTTAAATGGTTTGGGCTGAGCCCATATGTTATATATAATAAATATAATATTTTTTTAATTAAAAAATAGTTTACAATTAATTTAAATAATATATAATTATAAAATAAAAAATTTATATAATTTTTTAATTAATTAATATTTATTTAGGTTTAAAAATTATTAGATCTTAAATTATTAATTGAGTTTTAAATGGTTTGGACCGAGTCCATATGTTATATATAATATATTTAACATTTAAAATTTAATTTCGGTTAATTCGGTTAATTAACCGATTTCGAACCGAATTAACCGTTAACCGAATTCTAAAAATTTTCTCAACCGTTAACCGACCGAACTAATTCGGTAGCCGACCGAATTAACCGAACTAATTCGGTTCGGTCGGTTAACCGAATTAATTCGAAAATTTGAACAACCCTAGATTTCACATTTAGATGGTAAGACGATTTCAAGTCTAATCAAAATTGATTAATACATTTAGCAATCTTAGCAAGAATCAAACAAGGATACAATAACCATTAAGCATGACTTTCACCATTTTATAGTAAAGATATTGATCCTAATACAAGAGTATCGATATCCTTGACCTTGTATTAATAGTATATTATAATATCGATATTGCTAATCATCATCTTATTATTATTTTTATTTTGATTATCGAACTATTACTAATCGATAACTTGATTAAAAACATTTTAAGAGTTTAGTAATCTAATAAATAAAATTTCTAGTTTAATGGTCGAAATAAAATCGTCTCGATAATTTACCCTAAACTTTTTCATAATTAGAGAAAGTTGGATTTAAACATAGATATTAGGAATGTCAATGCCACTTAATCACTAACTAGACAAAAGAAAAAGGAAATAATATTAAAAACCAACTCAACCAATCTTTATAAGAGAATAAAATCTAAACTAGGAATACTTAATCTGCAATTTGCATTGACAAATATTAGTACTAGTACTGTATATCTTTGCTTACCAAGGATTAGGTTCATTTACATCATAACAAACACACTGTTGAAACAAATCAACAAAGGGCCTAACTACTAGATCCGTCAATGACAACAACGTAGTAGTCTCACAAAGTTGAATTAATTAAGTATAAATCATTTGACCAAATGCGTTTAATTCCTCATTGATACATTAACAATATATAGTTATATATATCAGTAATAAATCAGATATTAACTTAATAATTATACATCATCAATCCATCGAATATTCAAAGATTTATTTTACATAAACAAAAAAATGGGAATCCAGACCCTTGTATCATTAAATATATCTTGATTGTTTGTCGTTAGTTTGGCTTAGGCTAACTGAAGTGAATTAGTTCATAATTTGTCTAGAGATTGTCTTATAGGTTATTACAATACTATCTGACTTTTGTTAATACATCCAATGAGTATACATATGGTCAATTCACGGTTTGTGTCCCTCTTCTATGTTCAGATTTGGGATTTAATTCCTATACTTTAATTTAAAGTAATTCAATCACTTTATTTTATAATATCATTAGTTATTTTAAATAAATATTAACTATTCATATGATTTATTTAAATGATGTCAACCAAACAACCTGTCATTAATATTTGACTGATGAATTGACATTACAGTTAAGGAAATTGACATAATTACACATTTAAGAATAAGAATGGCGTTGAGGGGGAAAACCTGGGACTTGGAGGAGGGATTGGGTGCGGCCTATACATTTGTGATGTAGACTACAACATTATGTATATATGATATTGCAATTTATACCATAAATGTATGATTTCACCTAATGTTTAAGGTGCGCCCAATCTTCCCTTTAAGGGCTTAGATTTGATTCCTCTTAACACAATTCTTCTTCAACTTATTTTTCCTCTAATCATAAATAGTTAAGTGATTTGATTGATAACATTAAAATAACAGTGATCAAATTAGAATTCCCATAATTAAGCGGTTACGGGTGTAGTTTACCCTAATTAATAGAAGGACTAAATCTTAAATTTGAGTATAATAGGACCAAAGTTATAATTTGACCATATATATGATGCACCTAATCTTACAGGGAACAGTTTAACCTTCTCCTTTGAGAGTCATTTGGAAGGTTGTTTTTGGAGGAAAGCCATATGTTGACCCTTAATTGAAAGGACTTAATCTGGTTTTTTAATCCTGTTTTTGCTGTTGTTAATTGACTCTAATCTCACACCGTCAACATAGACAAAGTGTAGTAGAAGTAGAGTGAAATTTGACTAGGTAGCGAGTAGGGTAATAATTAATTGAAAATGTGAACCGGCCAAGTTAGATGAGACAAACGAGAAAGCATGGGGCAATGGAATTCTTTGTGTAGGAATAATTATTAGAGTACAAGAAAGAATGAGTATGAGTAGGTCCAACACATCCCTCAAACTCCATTTGATGAATTAGATTGAAATTGACCCATCTGCCAATTGTTTCTCTCAAATGTAATGATGATCATGATGCCAAGTTGTGGGGGCTTTCATAAAGTTTCATAAATTCAGAGAATGTCAAAAGTTAAGCCCTTCCCCCCACCCCACTCAAACAAGTAAAGATGTGTGAACACTACCATTTGTTAAAAAAATATGATGGGGTCTTTGTATAATTGGAAAACTTATTCACATTCTCTTTATTTTAAGGGAATTATAAATTTAAAATGGGACTTCAAATTAAATTCAATCAGAATTTATTAGACTAGTATGATTTGATTCCAAGAGT